CTTTCATCCTCTATTGACTCACATATAGAATCTATATGTGAGTGGAAAAAAACTCAGTTTTTTATTTTGTTTCATTTTCATTCATTTTTTGTGATCAATATTTTAAATATAACAAATTACTGATAACCTACAAAAGTATATCAGTTTTATTTATATGAATACAGTATGGAATATGCCTTTTTACATATCCTACTGTTTTTTTATTGGTTGACAACACTGGTAATATTTTTTTTCAAAGAAATGTGAATCGATTGAAGTTATTGTGCTAAAATAAATCAATTTATTTTATGATTATTGTAAATATATTAATTATGAGATTGATTATTAAATTATGTATTGGGTCGACATTGTAACAACAATAGAAACCCAAATATGTTATTCATTGCTAAGCGTAATGCAAAATATTTTAGAGTGGAAATAATTCCAAAACACCTTTGTATCTCATTGCTCACGGCAAATAGATAGGGACAACGGATGTCGAATTGCGCGTCAAAAACTGTTCGATGAATTACTCGCAAACTTCATATTACGACTACTTTGTAACCGATGGAATTATGCATCAGTCTTAACTGCTGATTTATGTGTTTACCGATTTTCCCTATAAAAATAATTACAATAAAAACTTCCTATTTTTTGATACGTCCTTACTGTTTTAAATGCCAACGGGTTCACAGATAAACATTGTAGCGGCATTTAGTTTGTTATATTTTATAGGATTTTAACAGATTTTTTACGGATTTTTACAGAATCGCCCTGAGATGGCATAAAAACAAAAGAAACAATCTCTATTTTCATATGGCAATGAGGAAGTATTTAAAAAAAAATAGTTCCTGAAATCGATACCTACTTTCTTAATTTTTCCATGACCACCCTTCCGGTTTTCATATATAAAAGTAAATTAATTTAAAACTCATTAAACAACTCATATTCTATTTGCACTTTTTCGTATTTGTATTGGTATTTAATTTTCGTGTCGAAATGACTATCTTTGGTCTATTCGTTTCCTGCAAAAATCAACTTTTGCTAGGGTCGCCATCTAGTAAGGTGCTTTTTTTTCTTATAATACTTCCTCATTCATTTTGCCAACGAATATCATTCATTTATTCTTTAGAAAAAAAAATAAATATCAAGACTATATTTTAGGATCACTTTTATGTGACCAACCAATCTTATTAAAATGATGATATACCAATTAAATAATTGATATTTTTTTCTCGTTTAACTATATCCATTGTGAGACAACATTTTACTTTTCAATTAATTTATTTTAAATCACCAATCACAACGTCGTTTCCAATAATGGTTTTACAAGTATGTTGGCGCGAAACTGATAAAACGTCAGACAGTGACAGCTAATTGACAGATATCTATTAGGTAGGATGCCTGCAGTGAAATCGACAATGAAGAATGTTAACAATTTTTATTTATTAGCATTCCATATTCTCCGTCAAAAATAAAAAATACTAGTGAAAGAATTACTTCGATACGACAATTAGTTTCCGATTTAGAAGTAAAACAAGTTGTAACCGCACGACGCGGGCTGCCGGTGACGGTGTGACGTCATTGCATAACACGCACAGTCTGGCTCACTTAGTCCGCTCGCAGTCGCGCGCCCGTGCCGTCGAAATTTTACCTGAATACTTTTAAAAATGTCCAATCCAAATACTAGGAAATCATGTGTTGTGCCTAAATGTAAAAATACAACTACTAATTCGCCGGGAAAGTTGTTTTTTATAGATATCTTTTCAACCTTTTCTTTTTTTCACATATAAAATGTGAAAGAGAACACTGTATTTGAAGCTCTCTAAGTTTTAATGCTACTTTGTCAAAAAAAGATTTTTCATTCTGACCGGCTAAATGAAGTGTTATACCACTTGTGCCAAAATCTTTAGCTTTAATCATTTTCAGTGTGGTACCAACACCTGAGAGCTTAGATTTTTTTCAATAAGACTTGGTAGCAGTCGTTGAAGGCTCTTCGCTTTGACGATGTAGCCACATTAAAAATGCTACAGTATGTTTACAGCCACCTCTGCTGGCGGCACAATCTTCGCAGGTTACATTTAATACTTCTTGATCCTTTTCATTGCATTCTAAACTGCAATGATAAGGTGTGGTACGTACGCGGTGTTCTAGCGTGATGCTACATTTAACCGTACATACATCACCTACTCTTTTAACTTGAACATAACCAATAGCATCATTGCCATAGCTGTATCTTGCCGATCTGAAATAAGTTTCAAATAAAAATAATTAGCCTTAAGTATTTTGTAAGTAAAAAAATACTAATAAATAAATAAGGTTTAGTACATCTGTTCAAACTTCTATATTTGCAACAAAAAAATAATTTAATAAAATGGCCTTAAGTATTTTGTTAGTAAAAAAATACTAATAAATAAAAAAGGTTTAGTACATCTGTTCAAACTTCTATATTTGCAACAAAAAAATAATTTAATAAAATGGCCTTACGTATTTTGTTACTAAAAGAAATACAAATAAAAAAAGGTTTAGAACATCTGCAACGTTTAACCCACTACATCTACATCCTAGGTACCTATCCTACTTCCTACTTATATTATAAATGCGAAAGTTTGTGTGTGTGTTTGTTTGTTATCTTTCACTGGACGAAGTCTGTAATAATAACACATAGGCTACTTTTAATCCTGGGAAAATGTACAGCTCCCGAGTGAATCGTGGGCGAAGCTGCTGGCAGAAGCTAGTTTGCCATAAATCAATGTATGTATTTATTTAAATTTACTAAGAGCGGTACCTATATATACGTACCTGCCTATAGCTACAAAACTATAATACATATTTGTCTTTAACGTAAAAATTTAATGGTAGGTAGGTACTTCTACTATTTGAGTTGTATTCTTCCATTACGACATTAGTTGCGTATTTTGTTTTGATAAAACAATTTAGAACAGATAAACTATTAAGCATCAGTAGTAGCAAGGAAAGTTTACTTACCTATGCATTTTTATTCCTCGCATTTCGGCGGCAACGAAATTACTATTTGTTAATAAATAATGCGCAACTTTTAATCCATCTATTTTAGGTAAATTATCCGATTGCCCTTTTTCGAATCCTTTGTCTATTTTATTAATCGAATAATATTTAATATTATTAGACTATTAACTTAATACACGGGCGAAAACACAACAAAATACTGCGCAAGCTATTATATCTACTATAACCGCTGGCGACTTGATACTAAGCGGGGCGCGGCGCGTTGTGACATGACGTCACAAGCGGTCACGTGGCTGTTAACGGGATTCGATATTTTTCGAAACTTTGAATGCATATAAAATGAAAATTACTAGGTATTTTTGACTACAACAAAAACTAGTGTATTTGTATACATAAGGGCTTTATTGAGACAAAATTTCAATCGATTTGGCATACCTAGTAACATTCTTCATTAGCGCTATCAGTGATAGTCTATTTTTCTCTCTAACAATACGCATGATTTTTTTTTTTCACTTGACCAAACTTAATATGCCAGCAACCTTGTATAGTTGGGTCATTATATTGATCTCATGAGTAATTCATGTGGTAATATAAAGTTTAATGAGGAAAGATAGCATAATATGAGTATATACAAGCTTATCATACTATACTTTGGTACCAGTGGCTCTACCGTGTGATTGTAGAAACAAACATTATAATCTGATGATGGACAGATCAATCAGAATATAAACTGAATCAGAATTCCGCTGGGATTCTGCATTTGAGTTGTTATGATGATAAATTGTTTTACCAATAATATAAGAAGTCATTATTTTTAAAGATCGATAAGTGTATTTCAATTTTTTTTACAGAGCATTTAAGCATGATTATTATACGCGCAATTGGGCACACCTAAAACACAACAGAAAGAGAAACGAGCCTTAAATGATGTGGTGCCTACGATACATATGAACACTTTTTAGTCTTTCTATTTTTTATATTGACGCGTCAAATTTACCTAGGGTTTTTATCAAAAAAATAATTTTGTCGTATACTTTCTTGTATAGTAATTTTGTTAGATACTTTAATACATACATAAAAGGAAAAAATGTATTATGCCAACGATCCATAGAAAGAAAATTTTACATTTAAAGCTAGCGAACGGAAAACGAAATAAGAAGGAAAACAAATTTAATCGGCTTTAAAACACTCACAAAAACTGAAATGGAATTGGACGTATGGAAAAGAAAAAGTGGACTAAAATAATTACAATTTGGATGGGCCCTGCCGGTAAATGAAAGAGAGGCAGACCACTAGAAAGACAGTTGGATGAAATCATAAAAAAGTGGGAAATGACTGGACAACTATAGCCCAAGACAGAAAAAAGGAAACAACTGGAGGAGACCTTTACTCGAAGAGAGGTCCTTAATAACAATTAAACAAACTGACATGCGTATACTTATATTTAATTTATTATATTAATCGGTGTTTCTTTGTTTTTAATAAGTTATTTAAAATATGTATGCAAGAGAATTGTATGTAGTGAAAGAATTAACGTAGTTGAGGATATAAAAGGCTTTATTTTATTTTTACTTTCCAGTTATAAGCTAGAATGTTATGCACAACTTAGCTACAGAAACAACAGTCCTTATGTCAGGTATCTATAATTATTTTAAAAAGTACTCGATACCTCCATTTAGTGATACTTATGGTAAGATTCGTTCCTTTTTGTTATCGATTATTTAGAATACAATGTTGATATTTCGAAAGATTCGATTCTTTAAAATTTTGCCTATCCATACTTCGTAATTTTCTTAATAGCAATACACATTTGCCAGGCTTACCGTTCAGAAACACTCGGTTACATTAAAAAAGAACCTTAACAAACATCAGTTTTATCAGTAAATTATGAACATCAAAATATGATTATCACCATCACAAGACGACTTTATAGATTTTTTAAGTAAGTTTTATATAGAAAGGATATACTTAATATTTCTAAAACTGAAGTACGTAACTTCAGTTTTAGAACGGTATACGAAACTGTCACCGATCGTTCCGTAAACGCTTCATTATAAAGAAAATGCTTTCTTGTAAAATCATATATTAAAAAGATAATTTAACCTCAATAAGATAAAAAATTATGTCTGGCAGCCTCATAGATAAAGTATACATCGGACTTGATAATGCTCCCGCAGCATTCGACATAAAAAGTCGTATTCTTGGTCCAGTAAGACAGTGCTCTATTTTATGTAGTTTTCACCATTTGTTATTCACCCGTAACTAATTATTTCATATTTGTTGCAGAATGGAACTAATTTAGAATATATTAGATCAGAAACAGGTGTTGTGGCTGTGTTAAAAAGTGACAAATTTGAGCCTTTGCATCTGGCTTTGCACCATACAAGACAAGAAGCGTTAACAGCAGCGCGATCGTTAGCGCAGAATCTTATCGAAACTATTAGGGCGGAACTGGCGCAATGGAGTGCTGCCCAAGCTGGAGGCCCTCCACCAGCATTAAATGTACCTCCACCGACTTTAACGACCACCGCGGCGCCTCCACCTGTGCCTCCTCCTGTTTCAACCGTCGCACTTTCATCACAATCCACCTTAACAACTCCACATCCCACTGTGATCCCTCCAGTAGTAACTGTAGCCCCTGCTTCCACACCACTGATGACAGTACGGCAACCCACAGTACTTCAACTTCTTCCACAGCAACAATATGTACTTAACCAAGAAAACGGGCAGCTTATACCTATAGTTCAGCCTGGTGTACAGGTGTCTAATGCCAATTTTACTTCCCTCCCTATAGCACAACACTTGGGCCTTCAGCAACCTAATTTTGGAACTCAATTAGTTGATATAGCTAGTATGCAACCAGTTAATGTGACACAACTACGTTTGAGTGGAGTACCGTCTTCCATGTCTATGATTCTCCCTAACGGGCTAACATTCCCTCAAGCTAATCTGTCATCTGCTGATACAACCACTGTCAACTCTGCGAACGCTCCAGTTGTATGTGCAGCACAAAGCACAAATGCATCACAGAAAATCTTGTATAGTACAGATAAAGGAGATAAAGAAGTGAAATATCACATACAAGGGGCAGATACAGTTCAATGGGCAATGCCAGGATCACAAACTATGCTTATACCATACCAGCAATTACAAGATTTGACCGCAGGGCAAACTGGATTAACTAATTTACAACCTCAACAATTTGTGTCTGTAAGTATCAAAAATGGACAAACAGATCAGACAATTAACTATTGCCTGGCAAGTCAAAGTTTTTTTTTCATTACAGATTTCACCAGCAGGTAGTCTTCCACAAACATCTTTGCCGTTAACAGCAGCCCAGTTGCAGCAGTTACAAACTGGTACTATAATGCAGCTCAATCAAAAGGTATTTATTTTAATGTTCTCTGTAATCATTCAGTTAAATGAAGATTGTGTTGCATAATTATGTTGTTCATTGATTAATAATTGTCTGAATATATTGAAAAACTTGTTGACCCATATCAAAAATCATAATTTTCTTATACAAAAAAAAAATGCATTTATCAATAATTTATTATATAATAATAGTAAGTACTTTATTTAACTCTAAATTCTAAGGCTTTACATTTTATGATGTTCCCAGCCAATAGTGAGCAGTGGTTCTCTAATAAATATAATATCGACCGGACAAGCATCGTCACCACAGATATTTACAGTGAGCATCCTAGGAATATGTACTGTCACTGTTCAGTTTTTCCAGTTATTTGCTCTTGTCTTCTTTGCAGTCCAGCTATTCTAACCAATACTTAATTATAATGCAATACAAATGTATTACTTAAATAAGTTTATACTCTAATCTTGCACTCACCTCAATCACAATCTTCTGCTTTAAGTATATTTTAATGTGGTGTTGTTACTTATTATTTACCCCTGAACCTTGGTGATAGTTTAATACCTTCGTAAACATTTTCATTATTTTCTGCTTTTTTACAAAATTTTGATAGACAAATTCGGTTTCATAATTTATTGTGAATATCATTTAACTATTTTCTTAATATATTTTTCACTAATCATTTAAATAATAAATGTAATACTGAAATTCTAATTTAAATATAACTGAGTAAAATTGTTTTACATAATTTCAGAGTACATCAACACCCACAAAAAATGTATCAAACCAAGAAACACGAGGTCAAAAAAGATTATCTGATGGGACACCAAGTCAGTTGCAACTGAGACCCATTGCTCCAGCTGGGTAAGAATCAAAAGATTCTATAAGATAGACAGTCAATTTAATTTAAACTAATAGATTTTTCTTTCAGTGTCATCATATAGAAAAAGATTTGTAATTGAGCAAAATTATATTAGTGGGCTATTGTAAATCTTTTTCTTATTATACTAAAATGCTGTCATAGAAATAACAAGGTACAAAAATTATATATTTTATTAGTTAAAAGCAATTGGCGTTAAAGTGTCTTGTTATTTCTTTGAAGCTTGTGAAGTAGCCGAGAGGCCTACCAAGATAACAGGCACACCATGCTACAGGCAACCATATACTTTAAATCTATTTTTAAATTGCATGAAGATCTATCACCATCGATAAGAACTATACAACACAGTAGGACAGTTTATGAACAAAATAAACATATAGTTGAAGTAAAATTACAAATTTTAAATGTTTTTAAAGTTCAATGGTGATAAATCTTCCATCATACACTTAACAGCCATCATGGAACCTCCTGAACAGACTACGTCGTTACACTATACATGCTTCGCAACAAATGTCGAAGACTGAAGTCACTGCAAGAAGTTGCTCCATGAAGAATATTTCACTATAAACTTTAATAATGTCTATCAAATTAATTAGAAAAATGTGTGTGTGAATTGTAACGATGTGATGTCGCAGGTCTCATGTAAGCCAGGACAAGAGCTCGACGAGAGACGCGAGAAGTTGGACTTCTGCAGCAGGTATATTGAAGATGCTGTGAAACTTTTATTTGTAACTGTGACAAACTATATGTAGAGTTTTGAATAACAAAATATTCGTCTTTAATATCTAATCTTGCTTTTATTACGCTATTAACAAATGACCGTGTGAACTTAGTCTAGTAGGGTTAACAGCTTTATGAGTTAATGGTTTTATTTTAAATTAATTGATGTAGGTATAAGAAATAGGTTAAGTTTAGTTTGTGTGTTAGTCCATACCATGGACTCCATGGTTTATTATGGCGCACTCCGATGACCGGCCTGACTCGCCCTGTCCGCTATTCGGAGCTGTGGAGGGGCATGATCGATCTGGACACCGGAGGGCGCATCAACTCACGGGGCGGGGGATCCAATACACAGTTGCGCATTTCCAGTCTTTCCAGTCATAAATACCCCCCCGAATATACGTTACGCATTTCTCAGCGTCAACAGAAAAGAACGCACTCCATTGAGAAGGGGTCGTAAACATTTTTCACCATTGTTAGAACTCAATTACTCTGCTTTATTTTTTTTTTTTTGGTAATAGAGGATAAATTAGTCGAATGTTTCTCATTACTTGAAAATAATAAACGCGCATACAATCGACGTACATCATGTGAGACAAAAGGAACGCACCGGCCCGACCATACGTAAAATAAATGAGACATATATGTTTAAAAAGTTTTTTGAGAACCTACTCTCAAGTATCAATGTAATGGAATGGAAGTATTAAAAAAAAGTTCCCGAAATCAAACTAGATGTCGCTACGATATGTTCTTGATTTCTCCATGACAACCTTTCCGGTTTTCTTTCTAGTTTAAAAGTAAATCAGTTTTCAAAACTCAATAAACAACTCAAATTTTATTTGTACCTTTTCGTATTTGTGTTGATATCTAAGTTTCGAATTTTTCAAATTTCAGTTTTTTATTAAATGACTGTAACGCAAATGAACGCTAAAAGGAACGCAAATGACTGTCTTTGATCCGTTCGTTTCCTGCAAAAAACAACTTTTGCTAGAGTTGCCATATAGTGGAGGTGCTTTTTTAGTGTTTTCGTTTTTTTTTAAATACTTCCTAATTCTTTCAGAAAGTATCGAATGTGGTCTCGATACTAGTATAGAAGCACTTACAGCGAATAAAGGTTGTTATCGATTCGTCCCTACCGGCACACAACGGTGGACATTCTGACTGAGTTTTGTCTCTTGTCTGCACGCTTTCTATTCCACTCAACATAGCAGCAACTCGTCATATCGGAGACAATTTCTACATTTAAAAAAGTCATCAATTCCTAAATGTTATCTCTGGTTTGGGTGGTTGTGGTAACGTGTCGTAATTTCTATATTCCATAACATAAGCTCTATTTAGTTTGTCTCAGTTACGAGCTTGATGTTGTATGTACAAAAGTTTAGTTTTAAAAGCGAGCGTAAATGCGTACTTATTAGTACTTACCTATGTGTTACATATGTTTTTTTTTTCTTTTAATGTACAATATACCTATGTGATACAATATAATAATAATGTTATAGATTGGTTTAGGATTGGTAAGGTCAGGTTTACATCGTTATTGTAAAAAGGAGGTGAAGTACGTGGGAGCACTCAAACGAGATGTTTTTTTTTGTTTTTTTTTTGTTGTACTGGTGTACTTACATTAATAATGTACACCATTAAACTCAAAATAATAGCAGCTTAAACCAAAATGTTGCGTAAATTAAAACGCGATGTATAATTGAAAAGTTTCTCATTGCACCAAATTAATGACGTTGGCGACTTATTAGCATTCGGCGTAGGATGCGTCCAATCAAGTTCAAAGCCCACATATGACAACACTTAATACTATGATACCAATGTTTGTAATTAATTTCAAACCATGTTTATCAAGGTTTAAAAATTGTGAAAATTAACAGTTTCGTATAACATGATATGCTGTTGCCTGTATCATTCTTAATAGTACGTATGCTGCAACTTTATATCACCAGATTGGAGTAGTAGCACATGTAGAATGTGATTCTTCAAATGTGATTCTAGATTAATGAGCGTAAAGTAAGTGTATCTCACACACTTGGATGTAAGAAGGACGGGAATCAATCGTTCATTTCCAAAAGGCAAAATTTATCTACGCCCAGCTTTGGGAAATATTCCTTATTTTTTCCGAGCATTACTCTATTGACTTCGATTTGATTTTGCATTGAATTTGATCGAATTCACTAAAAGTTAAATACAACAAATGGGAGCTTCCGCGTAAGTGCGTAAAATTTAAAGCGCGTAGAGTTAACATTGATTTCTCGAATGAATGTTTGATTGAATCCGATGCGCGGTAACTCGGTAGACTAGTGTTGTAAAAGAACTGAGTCTTTTAGTCCTAATATTGAGACTCGAGTCTTTTTTTGAAGACTCAAGTCAAAAAGAGTAAGTTAAAGCTTAAGCCTCTCTGAGTTTTTAGTCTTCTTAAAATATACTCCAGTCTTGCCAAAGAGAACTCGAGACTGAGTCTTTTAAAAGAGCTCACTCTTTACAAAAAGAACTCCAGACTAAGTCCTTCAAATAAAAACTTAGCTTTCCTAAAAAGAACTAGCGACTGAGTCCTTTTAAAAAGAGCTCAGTCTTACGAAAACCTACATACACTTATAATTATAACGCGACAGGCCAGCTACACTGTGCGCCTTGTGGTCGTGTTTCTAAAACCAAATTTGGATTAATTATCTACATTTTGTAATTACTTACTGACGTACATGAATGAGAGTATCACTTACTTATTTAAGGAAAGTAAAAATAAATAATAATGTTTATCGAGATTCCAAATGTAATGTGTTCGTTATATGATTTGAGTTATGGCAATTTTTTTTCATTATTGTATACTAGAAACAATTACGTTAAGTTTTTTGATACGGCTGCACTACCAGAGCGTCCTGAGGATGAATTTGTAAAAGTAGTATGTATTAACATAGTTTTGTTTTTCTTTTATATCACACGACATTAACAATTAAATGTAAATTAATAATTGACAAATTAGTATTAAATATGTATGATTTTGATGTGTAAAGAACTCAAAGGCTTCATGACACGAGTCTTTTTGATTGGACTGCAGTCCTGCTGTATAATTCACACGACTCATAAGACTTCAAAGAACTTAAAGGACTCAAAGAACCCAAAGGACTGAAAAAAAAAGGAAAGGACTTAGAATAAATCTAACGACTCAAGAAATTTTAGGCCTGAAAGAACTGAAAAGACTCAAAAGAACTCAAGACTAAGGACTCAGAAGACAAATTAGTCGTGAGTTCTGCAAAAAGAACTTATAGTCGCAAAATTAGGACTAAAAGACTCAGTTCTTTTACAACACTACGGTAGACCTATTAGAAACTCTTTGACAGATTTTTAACGCAATGCAACTGTAGTAATTATTGCGAGATGTGGAATATTGCATAGAAAAGTGACGTCAATGGCCAATAATCACTGGAAAAAAGTGCTGCGCTTTTTTTAATTTGTGTTTTTCCATTAATAGCGTAATGCGTAATACCTGTGCAGCTTGAAAAAGAAACGTGTTCTATTCCCCATAAAGATCTTTAGTGTACCAGAAATACATAATCATTAATGAAACTATAACCGAGACAAACTTCATTATATGCACAGTTCATTCTAGATCTTTCCTCTTCTGCATGGGCGTTGACAATGTTTTAATTATTTAAATGAGATTTTTCTGGCTTGATTCTTCTGCAAGGAACACATGTCTAGACATTAACAACATTAAGAATCTGAAATTAGGTCTTATGTGTTCCTTCGAAGAAAAACAAAGATTATTTTTGTAATGGATCTTTTAATAGCAACTGACCCTTCAGTAACTTATAGTTAGTTGCGTAACTTATAGAAACAGTAAATTTGCTCTCAAAAAGCATTTTACAAGTGTTCTACTAGTACAGTGAAAAAAATGTAGCGTAATTTTTTTACATTTTTTGCTAGTGCATTTGCGTATATGCCTTGAAATCTACACCAAAATAATAAATAAGGACGACCGTCTTTGCATTTTCAGTGCCGACTCGCCGAAGTTGCTGTCTACCGGTTACAGTGGCAACGTCGAAGATTTTGGGTTGTGATTTGATATTTTGTTTTTTATTATAATTAGCAGGTATGCAAGGACATGGCGATGAGAGGCAGAATGTTGAAAATGCATGTTCTTAATAGACATTTATGACACTATAGGCCGCCGTTAGAAGCAGATAGCAGAAAACATATTAAAGAAAATCCTATAATACCTTCATTTCAGCCGAGTATCAAAGCCGATGGGACATTGAATGGGCGACATCATAAAGCATTTGCATAACTTAATTTACTCAACTGTTTTTAATCAGTGGATTGATTTCACATTTTGTTTTCTAAAAAATCTTTAGGGACCTGTTATCGTTTCTTATGTAAAGCCAAATAGGTTTATGGAATTACTGTATGTAGAAAATAAACTTCTCGTCAAAAAGCTTTTTCTTATTAAGAACTGCAGTAATTTGTTAACTAGAACATGAGAAAATCTACTGATTAAAAACTGTGTTATGTGTACACAAAGCATCACGGCAGGTTGTCTCAAAATTTCGAATTTGCCCGATAGATTACTGTTAGTTGCATAAAAATCCATTGTCATTAATTTAAACGATACTACTGATACAAATTTTCAGATTGAGAACAATCATTAGAGCTTTAAAGACATTATTAACCGACCGGAATTTCAATGTCAAGAAACTTAATAAATAGGAGACAAAAAATTATTGGAGTTTTGATTTGTTAGTTTTAGATGACCTGTTATGTTGTTGACTGTACTTAATTAGTATATTGCGTAGATGGCACTGCGGCGTTGTAGGTTTTTACGATTTTTTTTAATAATTTCTTACCACTCGCAGCTAGAGACAACACCGTGGTCAGCATGGGAATGAAAATCAATCCAGCTCACGGCACCATAATTCATGTGTCTTCTGGTCAACAAACGAAGTAAGTGGTTTAATTTATGCTATCGAAATCATTTAGGGCCTATAACAAATATCTAAAACTAATGAGGTGTGTTTTTTTTAGTGTTTCAGCGTCAAGCGTTAATCAGGATGGCACCGGAATGTATATTCGGCAAATAGATCGAAACGCTATACAGATCCAAAGTAGCAAAGATGGTCAGAAGCAAGATCTGACTGCGAACAAGGTACAAAGTACGGCACAGAACGTCCAAATGATAACTGTACCTCAGGGCATGACGGTACTTCAGAACCCGTTGAATATCGGCCAAATGCCGAGCATGCTCGGACAACACAATAGCCAGGTGTATATGATACCCACGAATACCCAAAATCTTGTCCAAGGAGGTTTACCTCCAGGCATCATCGGTCAACAAGTTCTCCAACCTGGGCAAAACGTGACAGTGATGCAACCCAACCAATTAGGGATGCCTGCCGGGGTCCAATATAATGTTCCCTTGATGTCTATGAATATGCCAACAAGTTCGCAGTACATGCCCGCCGGCATTAATCTAAACACACAATTGTCAGCACAACAGTTAAACGCCGCATTAGCCACTCAACAGCTCAATCAAAATCTAGCAGTATCTGGAACTATACCGATCGTACAGGCGGCAACGCCTTCTCCGATGACGAATCAAGCTCAGGGTATATCGGTGTCGCAAACTCCACCGGTTCATCAAATAGTGCAACAGAACTCTTACGTCACGCCAACAAGCCAATACGCTAGTTTGCCACCGCAGTATATGATGCAAGCGAATACAGGTGCTCTAACAGTTCCGTCAAACAATCAAAATGTGCAATACGCGCTACCGAACACGCAGACTGCTAATCCACCGACAGGTAACGGTAACGGACAATCGACAACGTCCAGCGATACAGACACCACGAACGGAGCTACTGGTCAGGCTAATTACATAACTTCTTCGCAAGACAATTATCCGCTGACCGGGTCAACGCAAGTGCAAAATGCCCAACAGAGTTTCACGGCCGACGCTTCGACGAATCCGACGTCAGGGTTTACACCAGCCAGTCAGACTCCCACACCGACGAACTTCGCAGCCTCCAATGGAAGCAACCCATCTGCCTACAATGTCAACCAAACGACGACTACTCAACCGCCGCCAAATTATAATCCCAACGGTAACAACGGCACTAACCAAACTACAAACCAGAGCTACGGGCCAGCTTCAACTCCTAGTTCTCAGAACAATACACAGACTAACTTCTCCCCGTCGACTACGCCGGCTCCTAATCAATCATATCCCGCGACAAATCTCCCTAATATGCCGAACATAGGCTATCCACCGAATCAGAGTTCTCAAAACCCTTATCCAAATGCGACAGGGCAAAACTTGGCGGCTTACGCAAATAATCAGTATCAGTACACGAGCAGACCTTGGTTCAGGCCGCGGTACGGGTCTCCTCAGGGATCACCGTATAGTTCCGGCGCTGGACCTCCGAATGGACCTCCCATGCCTGTCCCTCCACCCTCTGGAAATTACAACTACTGGCAGGACAGTTGAGATTTCTATAATATCATCGACATGGACGACCTCCAATGACGATGAGAATTCAAAAGAATCGATTAAATGAAATATCCTATAAGATTAACTAAATTGTAGATTTGTATTTTTATTGTCTAGTTTTGATTTAGGATAAAAGAGACTGCTTTAAATATACATTTATGAAATGTAAAAAGTATTAGAATAAATAATGAAATATAAAATAGATGGTACCCTAGTTCAATTATTTGATTTCACTGATCACCTTTGTTAGTTACCAAAAAATGACTCGCTGAAATTTTGCACATCAACAGATTGGTTTTCACAAGAATTCGTGATATTACATACTACCTATTTAATGCAGATTGTTAAATTTTATTTTCTATTTTTGACGCATGTCATAAGCTATGGTCGGGTGATTGTCGTTTTATGACAAATCTGCAGAACTCGAGATCTCCCAATTTTGTTGACTGTGCTTTCAGCCCTGCCAAGAACTTTTAACTTACCAAATGAACACAGATAATCGTTATCCAGTAACCGCTTCCTTATTTATGCTACGGGAGATGAAGCATCGTCAAGTACAGGTGCAGAGAGGCTATCAACTCCTCAGACGCAAGGCTGAAGCGCTCAGAATCCGCGGTAGACAAGCGGCTGCTGAACTCGCTTCTACACAAGCTATCCTCGGCCACACCTTGAGAGAGGCCTACATATCACTCGCCGCCGTCAAGTTTACCAATGGGGAGTCTAATGCAATGGTCCTTGAAAACATTGGGCAGGTACACCTGACTTACATCGTAATGGGTGGCGTAGGGCATGGCTTCGTGCAAAGACCAGTTTTGAAAATTAAGTATGATTATATGATTGTTAAAATACATCAAGTCATTGTTGGGAATCAAATTCTAAATTTATAGACACATAGAATGTGTTCATCGCGTCACATATGTGTTATTATTTCGCAAATTGTTCAAAAATATTGAATAGATGAATATGGGGGTAAGGCAGTAACCCCCCTCCAAGTCGAGTGCGAACCAACACCTTTTCTGGAACCATTTTCGACACTGACATACTGACTCACTAATCATCAAAATAGAACTGGTATTCTCTAATGACTTAGAGCGCGAAAATTTGGTACAGAGGTAGAATTTAATGCCTACATAGAGGAAAAACCATCAAAACTAGGTTGATGGAAGATCAGGACTACCTGGTGATCCTGATGAGAAACCTTAAGAGCACACCCAAACTATTAGCGTCATCGAACAAGTTTCTTTCCAAAAATGCAGAATGAATAATGAATGTGAATGGACAATACGGAAACTGTTGCTAGTGTATAAGATTTTTTTTAAAGTATTTTAAGGGCGTTCGCCAGATGAAGCGTGTGTGTACACAGGGCACCCTTCAAATACTTAAAAAGTCATCCTTTCTCGCTTTCTTTTCTAATAGGCGCAAGTAAGGGTTCTACGTGTCCCAGAAAATATTTCCGGTGTAGCGACAGTATCTCTGTTGCCTATAGAAGATGCATCGGTTAGTGATGCACTTCGATATGCGGGACTCGGCGCAGGCGGTCACCGTACTAGCGAAGCTAAGAAAGCATTCCGAGAGGCAGTACACATATTAATCAAGTTTGCCTCTTTGAGGAACACATGTATATTACTGGACGAGGCTCTCAGGTCGACTCTCAGGTAAGATAAAGGTTTTTCCATATTTTAGAAGGCCCCTTCAACAACTTTTTGTTCGCCCCTGCTGCACATTGCACCGACACCAAACTATTATATTTTTTTTTTCAGAAAGGTTAATGCCATTGAAAAAGTTATGATGCCGAAGTTACATAATACCGAAAAATATATTTTAATGGAAATGGACGAGAGGGTATGTAAAATGGTTCAGTCAGCAGTGCGTCAAACTGTACAAAATTGACAAATTTATTCACAATTAAATTAAAATTTGTTGTTTTGTGGTAAACTAGATGTACTGCTGTGTGAATCATGTTAACTGGTATAGGTGCAGGTACGAAGTTATTTATTTGGTTAGCCATATTATGTCATTGTGTAAACAGTAACAGTTTTAAAATTGCAAGTATAATGAGTAAGTAAGTATTATATAGGGTAAGGTGGGATCAGTATTGCACGGGGCACATTGTAACAATGCACATATCGATTACTGTCATTAATTTTTATATTAAAAACAGTGCATAATACCGCAGATTAAGGTTTAAATCTATTTATTGGTCTTTTGGCTTCATATTAGCGTGCAGTAGTTTATTGTACTTGGACACAATCTCCATTACTCATTTGAATTTTTTTGTTAGCCTCAAACACCATTAGGTCAAGTTTTCGAGTACTACTACCCCATGATATAGGTATGGTAAGCAGGTGTTTAGGAAATGCCCTACGCGGACCGGGTTCTTATATTTTGTATGCGACTAACAAATTTATTAGCCCCGTCCCGCATATTGAGCCAATATAATGGAATCCAAAGGTTCATATGGCTGTAGGCTACCACAATATTTCAAATTTCCGCAAAAGATTTTGTACTTATATAAATTTATGCGTGTTGTGCTTGCATTGCGTTCGCGAATCTATGAAAGTAGGATAACTATCTTAAAACATTTATGTATATTTTAGGAGAGAGAAGAATTCCATAGACTGAAAATGCTAAAAGCGAAGAAAACACGGTCAAAAGTGGCAGCTGCTCGTTTTATTCGTGACACTGAAGATACGTGCGAAACCAGTGGTATTTTTTTTTAATTTTGACATCATCAATACTAGCTATCAGAATATGTACTGCACTGTTGCATATTTGCTTGTTTTTGCAAAAAGCTTGTTCTTAGAACTTTAAGATTTTGAAGTTATTTCAGAAAATAGGAGTTTGACCATATCCATCCTTATCTTCACTATACAGTTCTTTAGCTATAGATTACAGGAAAACCTGTAAGTAGAATATTATTTATTATTTGTACTTTCTGTATATTATTATTTATTTCTTAGCGATGACCTGTTCCATTTTTCTGTTTTATGAAATAGATATATCTGGCTCTCCCCCATCATCCCGAGCTCAATCGCTGGACTGCTTTACTAATATCATGTATCCTTCTTCTAAAGCCGTCTCATCCACTGACTCTACAGGGGATTTCCGCCCAGTGTGCTATCCCCACAATTGGGATGACGAAGATTTACTTTTTTAATTTTCTTTACATTAAAATGGCTTAAACCTTACTATTGATTGTATGAAACACGTTCTGTATGTAATAAATATCTTTATTGTATGAAGTAGTTTATTACAAATATGTTTAAGTTGAATAGTCAATAACGAAAATATACAGATAAAGTTATAATCAGTGTGAAAAAAGCTTAGAGAATTGAACCAACACTCCAAAGAAAAAAGTTAATTACAAAACCCAACCATTATCCATTCTTTCTTCCATGGGTTTAGTAAAGTATTGGCATCTTCGAAATTTCTCCAATATTTCTCCCTAGAAAGCAAACTCATATTAGCATATCGCTTTGAATGTTACATGACTGTAGAAATGTCTTGTTAATTAAAGTTACGGGTCCTACAATGTATTAAATAAAATATGGTGCCATAAAATTAAAAATTACGTAGGGGCGGTACGTTATTTATTATCAAGTTAAATTCATTTTTGCTTTATGGGTTAAAAATAAATAATCAACAAGATGGTATTAAATTTTATGAGATCACATTATTTATAAGAACTTACAAGTCCAGTTTTCTGAATGGTTTCGCTGTAATAAGTGATAGCACTGGAACCGGTTCCGTAAAGAGGATACTTTAGATGCATCTGTTGAAAATTAAATTTACAATATATTTTAGTTTAATAAATGCTCATAATAAACATAAAAGCTTATCAGTTTAACATAATTTTCATGTAAATCTGATATTATATAACTGCTATTATCTCGGTTACCTACTACCGGATGAAGTTCATTAGAAACTTGATTATACTTGATTTGCCTTAAATGCGGACCGCGCAATAAAGAAGTGAAAAATATTTAATCAGAAACTCAACAGCAAGACAACGTCCTATGTAGTTTGGGAAGACAATCCTTTACAAAACGAGTTCCTAAAAATATGAGTGTGTACTAACGTTTTTGTCAGCAGTTATCTCTAAATTGCGTGGTTCAAATTGATCTTTAATATAATTTGCGTCGTATTCTGTACAATATTCGGCGACCGGTTGTGAGGTTGCCAATTCCTCAATAACTTCATCTAGCATTTGTTCCCAGAAAAAATCGGTCATCATCCTTTTGCGAATACCTGTAAATATATTTTGGTGAGCGAACTCGTAGGATTTAGAGATGGATTGTATCTATCAGGATTTCATGCTGATAGATACAGTCCAGTCCACCTTTTCCCGTCGCTCTATTCTATTCTGTCGCTCAGAACTGCCATTTGCTAGAGCGAGAAAATCAGATCGATACCAAGTCACGGAATCTTCAAGGAGAAAATTAACACGCTTTCTCGCTTTAGCAAATTGCAGTTCTAAGCGACCCCCCTTCGCCCAATCCGAAAAGGGTAGGGCGACAGGATAACATGCCCGCAGGCATGCCTGTCTAGTGAATTCCCCGCTTATGGCGATACCATGGTGGCCATAGATTTAAATCTACGGTGCTCCAGATGTAGTTCAAACTATTGTGGTATAGAATTAGGGTAGCATATAATTAGAAATTTAAAAATAATAATAAAAACATTAAAATTTTCTTATTGAACCGCCCGAGAATTAAACCGGGAAGTTTAGAGACGGAAATATGAAGACGTAGATGACACAGATACTTAGGAATAAAAAGCCAACACGGCGCCAGTTTAGAAAAGTTATTTATCAAACACATTCATAAAATACAAGGAATCAGATGCAACACTTACCTACAATAATCGTAATAGTTTGAAAGTTATTAATTGAAAACCGCAATTTTTGCCGCGCAATTGGCCTTCCTATAGAGACGTTTATAGGTTTATGCCCGCTCTTTAAATAATAATCATTACAATTAATATTAATATTAAAAATACTTACCTTCACCATGTTTCGATTTCTTGGGCACTTTAAATTGATTACGCATTTCGCTGCCCATCGTAGGGATAGTCCGGCCATCTTGCAAGATCCAATCTCTACTAAAATTTTTCCCTTTTCCGTAAGCCGAGGGTTCAATAGGTACTTTAGGGTTAAGTTTTATCCGCTCTAGAGGTCGTATTTTCAATTGCTGCTCTTCCTCATCAGGTTCTGGTAGATCTGCTTGTACTTCCTCGTCAAGACTATTACCAGACATTGTTTTACTAGTTTTTCCTTATCGATGTCTTCTATTAGCTTATCGTTTAATTCAAATTATGAAAATAATTACAATACAAAATAGGTAGGTACGCTGGTGTAAAACTGTCGTCATGGAGATGTTATCAAATATAAAAGTTTAAATTCTCTTTGATATTTTTATTATATTAACAAAAGGAATTTAACTTAGATAACTTAAACAATGACCAATTATGTTAAAAATAAATAGGTAATACGATTAAACTGTGACAATCACAGTTTAATCGTATTACCTATTTACGCTTACAAAATGTTATGCCATAAATATTTCTAAACAGTAAGAGTGAATTGCCATTAGAAAATACATAATTATAGTAGAAAAAAACTAACGTCAAATAAGATAAAAAAATGGCTGACGCTTGTCAGGTAGTCAGAAAACAAGATTTGCCCCCTCCGGGGGGCTATAAACCTATTCCATACAAAAGACTACCAGCTAAACAATACTTCAGTGGTATGTTATTTATTAATAATTTATTTGCACATTTTTATACTATTTATTTTTGTTATGTAACTTTGAGGTTAGTAGTTTTGTTATTAGATTATTACATTTGTACTTACACTTTAGAATTTAGATTATAACCTAAGACTAATGTCCGCAGACTTTTTTATTTAACGTCATTTAGTATATTTCCGTACATAAGTCGTATATAAATTTTTAATTATAAGACCTTAAAAACACTACATGTTTTTATCATTTCAGGATATGCTATGATTGCTGGATATCTTGGCATCACTGCCGCAGGATTATACATATATAGCTTGAACTACAAAAAGATCAAAAGGGATGAAATTGAAATGCGTTCAGCCAAAATGGCCATTTACCCAATGTTGTTGGCCGAGAGAGACAGGGAATATTTGAAACAGCTTCGCAGAAATCGCGATGCTGAGGCTGAACTTATGAAAGATGTGCCCGGTTGGGAGGTAAATATTTTATATTATTTCAAATATCTTTGCAATGAGGTATATATTTGTGTTAATAAATTTGATGCAAGACTATTTGTATTTTGTTTTTCAGGTTGGCACCTACTATGGTGAACGTGTGTACCAGAATGTGCCAGCAGATGCTCTGGTTGAGCCTATCTTCCATGAGTACTATGCTCATGCTGATCCTCGTGAGTGGATCCGGCGAACTTACCTGAAGCTGCGCTCATAAATCTTCATGGTAGCATACAAGATTAAAAAGCAGTTACAGGTACACCATGAATAGGCTACCAGAAATCTTTTTTATTGTCATCATGAAAAGATTTGGCGAGATTGTTTAGCATTGTGATTTATAAAATTAGTTATTAATAAAGAGAGCTCTGCTTAATCAGTCTTTTTTATGTATTCATTAGTCACTTATCTCTGTTTCCTTGCAAAATTTTAATCTGTAGCCACATTATAAATATTTATGTCTATTCTAGATTTCTTACTATTGTTATCACTAATTACATTAAAACATACAATAACTATGTAGTTACAGGTACAAAAACAAAATAAATTTATTTTGTTTTTGTTACACTTTATATTGTTCTGGAAAGTTACTTCACTGTTTCATGAAGTCAGATAAAAAAAAATCATCAGTATGAAATTAAACAGGGAGAAGAAAGTATCCCTTGCATAGTTTCTTGCTAGTTCTCAATAAAATATCTGCGTTAGATTTGGGAATCATTCATGCATTAAAAATTAAAAAAAACCTTATGAACAAAATCAGTTTATTATACAAAATATAAACAAAATCATCCATATACATAAAAACTTTAATCATATACCCAGACCAAGTTTCATAGTATTACAAATTTAACAAACTAGTATGTTCTGCAATTTGATCTGACCTTGAGGTTAATGTGGAAATATGGTACATGGAACAGAAAACTGGTACATACAACAGAAAACTGGCACATACAACAGATCATCAGGTTACTACAACAGGCCAAATTTCTACAATCAATATTTGAACTTAACTGTCAATGGGGTATGACTTAACATCAATTGGAATGCCTTTTTGTAGTAACCTAATATGTTATCAACTATACAATAAGTTTCCCAAAGAAGTTATTGAAATGTATTTTACATTTGTAAAACAGCATTCCAGCAAAGGTGAACTTGGTGGGACCCCATTGAGTACAATGCAGATCATTTATAATAGCTATATGTTAGGCAACAACGTCCGGTTAGTGCTAAACCTGCTGGAATACTGGTTTACAAAAGTAAGAAACATTTTTAACTGCCTTTTACTGGATTCTCATTTTCTACAAATCCTGACATGTAACAATATATTCATCAGACTAGTATAAAAGGAATAGAATGTCTATTTAATAAATAAAGTAAAAAATGCATCAGTTAACATAAATTTGTCACAACAAATATAAAATTATAACATAACAGCTACAAACTTAAAGATCTCAAGAAAAGAACATATTAAAAAGGTGTTTTTTTTTTTATAAATCTTGTTCGAAACAAGTCTGAAGATTTATCACACGATTTTGGAAATAATATGGTTCAAATTTCAACCTAAAACATAAGTCTTCAAACACGCCGAAAAAATCAGACACCTGTTTGTTAAATATATTGACTTCGCCCACTTAATGCTAAATCTGACAAATCGACAGAGATATTGCAATTCCCACACTCATACGCGTCATCAAATCCACAATTTGTATACAGGGTAATTTGAAAAACACAAGCAATCTCGTAGAGCAGTTGACATCATAATCAATAATGTTTTATATACGACTAACAATAGCTCAATACTTAGACCAAAAATAGTTTTTAAGATTTATTGTATATGCAGCCGTATCAGGTTACCACAATATGTCATATCTCAGCAATGGATTTTGTACTTTACTTTCCATGTACTAAGGTTTAAATTGGACAGTTTAGTATAACCTGTTATATGTGCTGTTGACTGTACACTAGTGACATTTGCAGGTAATAATAATATTTTACTGTCTCTAAATATTATTTGATTACATACAGATTCATATCTTTTCTATTCCATTATCATTCACTATTCTATTCCATCTATAGGTAAGGCCCGAGCCCCAGCAGTAGGGACATGAATAGGATGATGATGAATTAAATATTAGACAATCAGCCAGTTGCACAAACAACCATTAAAATTTTCATTAGTTTAAAGCGACATTACCCATACAAATATGACATTCATTAGAGCTTAAAGGCGTCATTTAACCTTAATGGACGTTTGTGCAACTGACCGAATATCACAGACATTGCTCAGATTCGACCATCTGAGACAGCGTAGCTGACCCCGACCCGAGATAACAGAAAAGTTGTTTAAGCGTCGCGTTGCGAAAGCTTTGTTGATTAAGATGATAGCTGTCTAATTCTACTAGGTAGCTGGTATTTTACAAAGAACCCTGTATATAATAAAAAGTGATATCCTTTAACTTGCAAATCACTGAGATACACAAGTAGGTGAATAGGAGAATTATTTATGACCGTTTTATGACAGTTAAAGCTAAAAGGTTCTCAACAATTCCCAAATAAATTATCATATTTTTAATATTACTTCATGACTTTATTATGCATACAACAATATTGAGTATGACTAACAAAAAAAAAAAAGTGTAAACACGCACGATCGCACTGTTTATTGAACTTTCGACTTCGTTACGTCAATATAATGAAATATTCATTAATTTCATTTACATTTCCTTATGACGATCTTTGGTTTTAGTTTGTTAGTTCTTAGTTTGTACATGTGTTTCATTAAAAATACTCCGGCCATCGCTAGATGTAGTAAATAGAACCTCAAAAAAGAAGGCATGTGGAAAGCGAAGTTCCATTCATTGGGCAAAGGTACAGTAAACCTTTGAGTTTCTTCAAAGTATGGAATATTCCGTAGTATCACCACGGACTCGCACAGGAATCCCAAAGGATACAAAATTATCCATATAGAGTATCTCAGCCACGTCAGAACACCTATTTCTATCTTGTACAGTTGCGTTATGTAGAATGGGTACCTGAAAGGATTATATATATTTTAAAGTGACATAAACTAGAATACTGTACATTTTATTTTACTGCATAGCTCATATTGTACATTAACATATTGTCAACAGTTACAAAACTTGCACACAAGCCTTAGTACTATCTTGATGAAAGCTCCGATTATTTTTCTACTAAGAATATAATAGTCTCACCTGACAATTTCAACCAGACTCCATATGACAAATAAGTAAAAGACAACTGGCTTCGTCTGCATACGAGGTTCCGCTTCTATGTTCACGAACAATACGAACGCACGCCCGCTTATTTGAAAAAATGGCGTCCATACACTACCCTGAAAATATCAAACATTTTAAACTATCCACATTGGCGCAGAGTCCGAAGAGCGCAACCATTCGTTGGTTTCTTGGATCTTTTCTATTCTCTAACTCGGCACCTTGTATCTGTTTTGTATAATGTGAGATAGGTAGGACACGTTAATATCGTTTATGGTATGGGTACTGCAACATGGACACGCACAGTATGGCTGATCCACCAACTTACACATTCGGATCTAGTAGAGAGAAGTAATTAGAATTACTAAGAAAATATCATAACTTATTACGCAAATATTTTTAACCAATAGACGATATTGGACTGAAATAAAAAAAGTTAATAACTAATAATAACACAAAACAGTATTCTAATTACATATGAACAGTTTTTGCTTCATTTAAATTCTTGTATATTTAGAAAAATATCTGCTTAAGATATGACATATTCTCAAGCAATTACTTCTCTCAACTATAGATACGAGTACGTCCCTAAGTCGCTCGGCGGACTATAGCACGAGAATCTGCCGATTAAATATTTAGGAATCGCCTGAGGTAAAAATGCATTTCATCATTGATTAGGAACCACCTTAAGAAATCAAGCAAAGGCTAAAGTTATGATATTCGTTATGCGCCGCCTTGCGTTAGGCATTTGCGTATATGACTGGTCATAAATACATATTTCAAGGGATAAAATAAAAACTATTTATTTGGAAATTAATTAATCATTAGGAGTTTCCTAGTTAAGCTATGCCTTGTTCTAGGTTAGTGAAAATGGCTGTTAAAGTCGAAGTTTCTATAATGGATAAAATTCGTAACGAGGTTGTCAGACAAAGAACCAAAGTCATCGACATAGCACAGAAGACTAACAAGCTGAAGTGACAGTATTTGTAATGGTGGGTGCTGGCAATATTTGTAGACGAATTGATAACCGTCCGTTGTTTTGTCCCTAAATCTGTAAGTTGAGTTGTAAGAAGTTCTAGGGCATTTTGCAGACCCCTCTGTTTAGGAAATACTGGTATATACATTGTGTTCATAAGTTTTGAGACAAACTTTTTACAGAAAAAATATAATAAAAGTTTACTGGTCGTAATTTTTTTTGAGAAGTAATTAAAAGGTCAGCCATAAAAAAATTTGGTTAGCCACAAAAATCAGTATTTTAATCGTTTGATCAGCATTTAAAGATTTTGTATGCAAGAAAAATAAAACAATCGGCAATCCTTGTTTCGCAAATAATCTTGATAATGATCAGTAATTTAATCATATACAGTCAGCTTAAAATAATATGTGTATGTCAAATAAACAGTCTATCCCCAAAATAACTACTTGATCAGAAAGATTCAGGATTGGTCAGCAAGAAATATTTGTCCGGTTAGCAGTTCATTTGATCGGTTTGCGTATTTAAAGTATGGTTAGAAGAATAACTAATTGGTTTGCATTTTTATTGAAAAGTCTGCAATGTACGTTAAAAGTGGGCAGAGCAAGAGTAGTCGCATGATACTAGTAGCCAATCGCGTGCGTGTATTGTCATTCGGTGTCTATGCGGCGATTAGTAGCTGTCAAATTACAGTGATAACAACTTGTTTTATGTTAATTAGTGTGAATTTTGATATTTTGCGAGTGTTATATGAGTACTGTAGGTAGCAGCCGGGACCGACGGCTTAACGTGCCCTCCGAAGCACGGAATCATTTTACTTTCGGACAATCAGGTGATTCAGGCCTGCAATGTCCTAACCAAACTGGGAAAAACTCGCAAAGAAATATTTGAGAGTGTCCCCACCGGGAATCGAACCCAGTACCTTCGGATCGAGAGCCTAACGCTCTGACCACTAGGACACGGAGGCAGTTAATTTAATTAGTTAGTTTACTCTAAATACCCATTCATTGTTTTTGTAAGGAATGCGCCCATTTTGCGCCAGTCATTATTGCTATTTTTATATGCTTCACAAAATTAGATTATTTGCTTCCCTCTAAGTGCTGTTCAAAATTGTATTTAACATGCGTCTCATTGCAGCTTATATGATTATTATGCTAATAAAAAATAATTACAGCCGTCCAGAATGTAAAAAGTTGTCGATTGATTTGATATTGTTTGCTAGCCATGGTCTGCTGACCAATCATATATTTCAACTGACAGAATACATTTTTCTGCTAGCAAAAATGTGAATACTATGCTAACCCGTTAAATAACACCCATTTTTTTTTACCGATTTTGAATTTGGAATTTAACATTCCAAATGGAACGGTTCTGCACGGAATGTCTCGCGCACTCATCATCCAACTTTCACAAGTGCTTGTAACAGCCTAGACTGAATAAATAATTTTGTTTTTGATAAAAAAAAATCCATTCAATGACGAGATATTCTCTTTTACAGGCTAATTTTACTCGAAAGCGGCAGGGAATAAAAATATTAGCTTTATTAATTTTCATCTCACCCGTGTGTATCCAAACATTGGATGCATAACTTCCAGGTACTGCATCAACTGCACGAACTTCATGGCGGATCCAACATGTTCGTACGTATCATTCACAGAGTCGTATCCTAATTTAGCGTAGCGCACACCTATCACTGCCAGTATGTAAGTGTATCCAACTAATTGGAAAAGGTTGTATATAATGAGATATACTTTTATCATTTCTTCTGTAAAAAAAAGAACATTTTTGTCATTTCAATAATGTGAATTAAAATAAAATCAATAGAATCAATGAAAATAGATAACTAATTTATAAACATTTTTAGTTACCTATAAGTAGGGGTTTCTGATTAATTTGAGTGATATATTATGGAGAAGCTACAGATGTGTAAAATAAATATTGCTAGGAAATTACCTTAAAGAGTTACTGACTTCAGCTAAGTGCGTTTTTACAAGTACAACATTTAAACTTTTAAATTTACATAATTTTAAATGTAAAATAGTAAACAAATTTTGAAGTGATTAGTAAGTCAAGTGACACATCATGCACACTAAGACGGACCAACTTAAAAGTTACTATCTGTCCTTACGATGAATCTGAAGACAAACGTGATGATACTCGTATATCTAACGCGTCCGATTGCCACTCAACACGAAACAAATGGCCATATTGGCCATCGTAGACTTGTTGACTTGACATCATAGACTTCAATACGTGCCCGCTTTGAAAATAGTCGTAGGGTAGGATTATGATAAAGACAGAACTTTGATATAAATGATCAAAAACCTAAGTTTGTTTTAAAAAACCTACAATTGTTTTATTTGTTCAGAATTGTGATAAAATGAAGTAATTTTACCATCATCTGGATCTTGGAAAAAATCCTAAAATTGTGGTCAAGAACCTATATCATAATTCTACAAATGGTCGATCGCAAAGGAGCTATCGATTAGGTATCGTTGCATTACAATATGTATGATTGATATGTTTTTGATCCGATTGCGATGTTGTCTTCGATCAAAAACACAGAATCGACGGATCGTAACTTAGGGTAAATACGCATGTTTTCCTATCGCCGTCAGTTTTAATATTGTTATATTTATGAAAGTGCAACATTTTTGTGATTATATTCAATTTAATGACCTGATGAGTATAGTTAACTTATTTTAATTGAAATAAACAAAGCATTATGTGTTCAGTTATTTATGAAAACAGTGTCATGAATACATTAGAAATATTTAATTTAATGTTGATAAGTAATTTTTACTGTATTTACATAATTACTATTTGGAGTCTTATATATATAAAAAAATACCCATGATGAATCTGTCTCGTAATACTTCTTCAAGATTAATTAATTACAATGCGAAGTCAGGCCACGCAACCTAGCGGCTCAATACGACGGTAATTCTGATGATTGCTGGGTAGCGGCGTAAAACCGATGCCGTTCACTGAAATCGACTTGGTTTCGCGTAAAGTGCGCGTCGAGGAGCGCGACGATGTCATCAAATGGTACATTATGAATTTCTTTTGGCAGCGCGAGATCTGCTATGAGCTTGTAGGTGTCCTCGCTGAGTGCGTAGAGAAGAAGCGCTCGTTTTTTAATTCCTATTGGATCCTCCATCTTATCGATGTCATTTGCGATAAACCATTGTAAGTTTTCCAAGTGTGTATGTTGTGGTCAAAGTTCGATAAAACTCCAAAAAAGGTAGACGCCATTTTGTTTCGGTAACACGCGATTTACTCGTCGCCGCGGATCAAGGGTACGAGCAAAACACTACACTTTGAAAGGATTTAATTTCACCAAACGAATGATGTTTCTTTCGAATGATGTTAATGTGTGGAATATTAAAAGTATTTAAGTTTTGAAGATCATGGTTTTCGAACTTTGTTGATGGTCCAAAATTTTTTTATAAGACCAATTCTTCTCCCAAAGTTTTAATATAATCTCCCTGGTAGATTGGTTGCAACTTTTATTTATTCATATTTCTTATTTTAGATTTTTCTTATTTTAAATTACGTTCCAATTGTGTTTACACTACTAAGGGCGCCAGTTTCATGAGAAAAAGGTATAATCATAGGGTTCTTTGTTTGATTAATAGTTTGCGTTCTTAATTATATGACCAACTAGTAAGAAGTAATTAAATCGTAATTTAATCTTTTTTAATTTGTGGTTTTTTAAATCTAATTTATAGAAGAAAGTACCAACAATGTAGAAAGAATACCATCACCACAATAACAAAAAAAAAATATGGCTGTATCATTGATACAGCCATATTTTATGCGTGGATACGTCTATGTATGAATGGATATATGAGTAATTGATAAAAAAAAATATATTTTACATTTTATTGCTAACGCATATAAAGCTATATTTACGTGTTCGTAGATGGATGTGTACATATGCATACGTATGGCATAAAGATATTTTTTATTTATTGTATTATATTTATTGTATTGTATATTATAATGATACCTTATGAATAATTTTTCCAGATTTTTCAATTATATATGCCGTAAAATCTGCTTCTTTAAAATGTTTTTCACAAACATAAAAATTTTCACCAACATCCAGGTTAGGAAACACATCACGAATAGCTTTTAACCACTCTTCACGTCTAATAATGTTCTTTGGCACTCTAAAAACTGAACGATTCGCTTCTCCAAAACAACCCGGAATTATGCAACGTTGTGGCATAATTGCATTTATAAATGAAAATTCAAAAAAAAAAAATAACAAATTGAAGACACTAAACACTAAATAAATAAATATTCGTTGCGTTCATTTGTTGAATGAAAAAAGTATTCACTAGCGCCAACAGATGGCGTTAGTGCATATACTCCTGCTGACAGAATGCCCCTCCCCCTGCAGAGCAAGCATAGTTCACTTATACGCCAATAGATGGCGTTAGTGCATATACTCCTGCTCACAGAATGACCCCCCTGTAGAACGAAAACATAGACATATCCACGTCAAAAAAAAAATTTTGTTGTATTCCAAATACCACTATATGTTTTTTTTTTTTTAATAAATGTACTATTTTCAAGGGAGCATTCTTAATTATATGGCCACCACTGTATGACTAATACATTTATATTAGCTTTTCTATTTCCTTTTTCAAGTGCTCCATTGTAAAATACTACTTAATATTATTTATCAGTATTTTTTTTCAAAACTGTGTTCAGAACTTGTAATCAATAAATTTCATCTCATTTCATTAATTTTCATCAAAATTATCTACTGTATGTTTACTAGAGTAATAGTCCACTCTTACCTGCGGTTGCCTGGAAGTCTGAATTGTATTGATTGCTCTATTATTTAATTATGATATACAGTTAAAGTAATTATTCATTCATTCAAAATAAGTCAGTAGAACTTCAAAAGATAAATTTTTAAGTGATGGTTTTTCTAATAAGATTATTGTAAAAATCTATTGAGCATCGAACAAAAAAAACTTGCCTCTCCTGTAGCCCATTTCTTCTTTCTGTAATTTGTCGTACATGCCTGGGTAATCCCTCATAACATCACGTTTTTCTTCATCACTGTCTTGCATATCCTCAGATTTCCATAAATCAAAGTTTATCTAAAATTTGTTAAATAATTTATAAATTGCAATTTTTAAAAACTTTAAATAAATATGTTCATAACAGCAATTTCAAAAATTAATAACAAAATAAAGAATATTTTATTAATCAATCAATTTGTCTACTTATGCAATGGCATTTTCAGTTATTTTAAATGTGGTAACATATTTAAAATATAATTGGTGCCATCTTGTGATGTCTATAGTAATTATGTAATTAATTTTATAAATTAAGATTGTGGAATATTATAATTCAAAAACAAAAATACATTTAACAATGGACATATTGCACCCCTGGTGCAACACTGTCACTTTTGCAAAAAATACAAAAATTAGTTAAATATGTAATAATTGTCCTAAAGCCCCATTTTACTTGGTGCAATAATGTTACTTTTGTAGTTATCTCATCTGTATCTTCTAAAGTCATTGTTTTGTGAGGTGGCAGAGTTTAAAACTCTTCTCCTGAAAAACAAAATTTTTGCATAAGTGACAGTGTGGCACCGGGAGTGCGATATGTTGTTGTACCCTGCTTATACAATTAATATAAGACATTAACTTAACACTATATGCAATGATATGTTAGAAATTGTTTTGCACACAGCGGCAAACCCAAGATGTTAGTGTTTGTTTGTTAAAAATTTACCTTCAACCAGGCAGGTTTTTGGGGTTGGGCTGTGAGCCTCGGCCACCATGCTGGTTTCTCCTTTTGAATCACTAAATCCACTCGGTTGTCTAGAACGCGAACCGTGGCTGGTTGTTCTCCATCCAATATACTCTGCAATATATTTCAATAATTAATCTTATTCATTAAATGAAATAAATTTTAAACTTGCAATGCTTTCAGGTAGAATTTTTTATTTAATCCATTTAAAAATCGCATTCTATTAAAATTAACACATAACAGCACATTTCACAACAGATTAAAGCTTAAAATTTAAATGCTTTTGTAGTAAATTTCTAAGTGTGTACCCATTTATGAATAAATACAATACTTATTATACTAATAATCGATAGCAACTGGAATAATTAACATTACTTACACTTTTCACTGAAGAAAAAAGATCTAAATTAAATTCGTACTGCGTTCGACCGTGTGCACCAATGCCCTCAGCAGAAAATTTAACTTTATCTTCCAGAACTTTTACATCAGGTTCATTAACGTTCTTCAAATCGATCCTTAGTGATATAACTTTTTCTGTTTGAGCCCAATATACAAATGGACTGAGTACAACCATGATGATTGTTCAATATTTATTTTCCCAAATAAAACATTAAATTCAAGATTTTACTCTCTCTTCCGTAATTCCGCCCGGTGTTCTGTGTAGTGATGAGCACAAATTAGAGTTTGGCAAGCGAAACGTGACACCACCTATTTTTCCGTTTTCATATGGCAACAACATAGAACTGTCAGTTTGACACTACGTTAGACAATTCAAGAATATTGAATTTTGTTGTTTTTGCGAATTTGAACTTGTGTTTTTGGTTAAAAATTATGTCGAAGCCGATAAAAAGTTCATCGAGGAAACTTCTTTCCATCATGATTGACAAGTTTACTGAAGTGAAAACTGAATTAAATAAAAATTTCATGGAGAAATTACAACGATTAGATAAAGTTGTATCTTTTTTAGGTTAGTTTTGTATTATAATTTTGATACTTTCGTTTTAATTTTCTGTAATTAACTAAACAGATATTTTTTATAAAATATTGCTCTATTTCAGATAACTGTGATGGTGATATTCAACCAATAATGGAGGAGATAAATGCAATAAAAACTTTAGAAAAACAAGAAATGCTGAATTCGGAAACGCAGTACTTACAAAAAATTTCTTCAATGACAGGTCTCTTTTCTTGTTTTGATTTAAGATAGATTGATAGTATTCCTATAATATTTACATAGGTTTTTTATGATGTATTGGTTTTTATTGTTGACATCCAATGATGTCATAAGAATGTTTTGTTTAACAAGGAAATTCACAGAATTCATGAAACTAATCAAACCATGTAATTGTTATACATGCTAAATATGCACATAAACTTAACTAAATTAAACATAAATTGCATTCATAGTTGAATAGGTATTTAAATTATTTTGATGTATGTGTCTATCATTATTTGCTTTTAAATACATTTAACATATCTTTGTTTCAAAGTGTTTAATCTTTTATAGATGTAAGTATAAGGACACTAAGAAGGATAAAAAATGAAGCATTAATTAATAAAGGAAAATGGGACACTCCTGGGAAAAAACAACCTCATCAACCAACAGTGTCTGCTTTAGATAATTTTGATTTAAGTGCAATTCGGAATAAAGTAAATGAATTTTACTGTGTGAAAAAAATTGTTCCAACATTAAGAAGCCTTCACAATGAATTAAAAGATGCAATAGGATTCAGTGGTAGCCATGAGACTTTACGAAAAATTATGCTTAAGAATGGATTTTCTTTTAAAAGCAATGAAAATGAACGTTCTATGCTTATAGAAAAATACCAGATTTCTGCATGGAGGCACAAGTATTTGAGAGAAATAAATATAAAACGAAACGAAGGAAAGCAAATTGTGTACCTTGATGAAACTTATGTACATCAGAATTATAAAGTTAAAAAGTCTTGGCAAGGACCTTCAACAACTGGTGTCACTACAAAGATATCCTCTGGAAAACGGCATATTGTTGTGCATGCTGGATCTGAGGAAGGTTTTGTGCCTGGTGCATTATTAGTGTTCAGTAGTAAATCCAAATCTGCTGATTATCATGATGATATGAACTCATCGAACTTTATGAAATGGGTCAGAGAAAAATTAATACCAAATTTAAGTAAGCCCAGTGTAATTGTTATGGATAATGCCAGCTACCATATAAAACAAATCAATAAACCGCCTATAATGTCTAATACCAAAGCAGATATCCGTAAATGGCTTGTAAATAATGGAATACATTTTGAGGAATATCAGACAAAGGCAGAGTTAATGTGTTTGGTTAATGATAAGAAAACATTGCCTGTATATGAAGCTGAAGAGATTTTAAAAGAACATAATCATGAACTTTTATTGCTGCCACCGTATCATTGTGACTTAAACCCAATAGAGATGGTTTGGAGTCAAGCAAAAAGAAAAATTGCAAGCAGAAACATTGGAATACCAGGAAAGGAAATGGAAAACTTAATAATAGAGTGTTTTAACTTAATTACCCCTAGTGACTGGAAGAAATACACTGATCATGTTTTAAATGTCGAAAATGATTACAAATTAAAAGATGGCATTGTTGAAAACGAACTTGAAAAATTTATTATATCTGTTGGTGCAGACAGTAGTGAAGAGAGTGACTCTGATGATTCCTTGTCATTGTTATCAGGTGTAGAATATTTAGAAACAGATTTTGACTATGAATCAGACTAAAGTATTTTTAGTCTGATTCATAGTCAAAATCTTATCTTAAATTTTCTATTGTGATTAACATGATGATTTTGTGACACCTGTATTATGTAATTTATCCATGGCACTTAATTGTAACAAAAATAAATGTTTTTTTTATTGTAATCTGGTGTTTATATTGACTAATTTAATTTGATAGATAGTGGTTCTGGATTAGAGCAAAAGGTTGTGATGAAAATCCCTTAGGAGACATGTATGTGTTATGAACACATTATAAATATAAGGGCCAGAAATCAAAATTGGCTAACATCACATTTATTAAAAAAATGTGGCCAGAGTCGCCCATATTCATTACAAAAAAACAAAGAAGTCGTTGCAAAAAACACCCTTTTAATTAATGACAAATATGAATTTTTAATATTATAAGTGCTGTTAGCCAATAGGTATAACGAATGGGTTAAAAAAAAGATTCGATTTAGTCCGTCAGTCAGATAATAGAAAAATATTGGATACGTATTTTTTTTCGCTTTAATTTAACAACAAATGGCTTAAGAGGTACTATGCGACGACTTCAAATATGCTTTGCAACAATGTTACTTTAATACAGTTTATCGATACGAAATCAAGTGTCAAAATGGAGTCCAGTGGAGAATGCCGATATTGACATTTCGAAATTGCTCATCATTGATAGAGAATACGAAATAGTGATTTTGACACAATCAAAGTGTCTATTTTTTACGGTGATGACGATTCTTGGTTGTCAGTTGAGTTAGTGAATAGGCCTACTGATATGCTGTTAACTGTACAATTAAGAACAGTCACGCTTTAGTCAAATGTTCCAAAACAAATAATTTTAATTGATATCTAAATGTTAAGATTAAATATAATTAATAAAAGTATCAAAATTATTTTGCAGTACTACATTCAGTGTTTACTGCTTAAGAATTTTTGAAATTGCCGCCCTTTTCTTGTGACACGTTTCGCTTGCCAGACTCTATGTGATGGTCAGCCATAGACATAATAGAAGAGGGCCGGCCATACCTACGAGAAAAGCGTATATGCCTAAACTTCAAATGCAAATTCTTCGATGGCGGATTGTCATAGGGCGTGACCCAAGATATCGATATTTGTATCGACATTGAAGTCATATTAAATAAAAGTTAGTATTTCGTGAAACTGCTACAATACTACTACTTATTAAATAATATAATATAATTTTCATTGTCAGGGGCATGGCTAAACTATTACCTATTACACTTCTATTAATTTCACACTTACGTACCAATCCTATTTATGATTATTATTAATTAAATTGAAAAATTCACGCCAGTATCAAGAAAATAATATTTTTTTAAAAGTGGCGTGAATTTATCAATTATTTATAAATCATTAAGCAATCTTTTGCTCGTATTTTGTTGGACATCTAAAATTTCTTGCGTTCTTTGTTCTTGCGACTCCGTTGCGTTACTATAGTAAATATAACATATGTTACCAGCGTATGATGGCGCTTCCCACGGGTAAAAGATTATTCGTATTCCAAATTTCATCAAAATCCGTTCAGTAGTTTTTACATGAGAGTAACCAACATCCATCCTCACAAACTTTCACATTTATATTATTTAATAATATAATTTTATAATATGATTGTACCTCGATAAATATGTTTCTTTTTCCTCTAATATAGCCAATTTTACATAGTTTTAAGAACTATAGTACCAAAATATATATCTTAAAAGTTTTACAATAATATCAATCGTGTTTTGTAATTATTTCCATATATATTGTCATGTTGACATTTTGCAATTATAATTAAATAGTTTTTTTAACATAAGTTTAATTTTGCATCCACGGGAAGTGTGACTACTGTCCAAGATAACTACCACGGTAACTATAATAAGCTTTTAATGAGTCAATTGACGAATGAATTATTATGCTTTTTTTTGTCTGTTATATATTTTTTATTATTTTGGTGGAAAGTGACATTTTGGTCCAATGAAGTCATTTTTTATTTTTCAGTATGAAATTAAACAGGGTGCAAAAGCAGCCCTTGCAGTTTCTTACCGGTTCCTTTCTTACAGTTTCTTCTTTTCTCGGAACAAGGTTTCCCGTAATAGATTGCTGAACTATAAGCACAGAGTTTCGACTTTCTTATAAGCTTGTAACTAGTAAGCCAACTTGTCTATAAATTTATTCAACAAATTGTTTTGACTGAACAAATTTCGCTTCCTCCTCATTAAGTGAGATACCGTGCGTACTGTAACTTTTTCATAACATTTAATATTTTCTGCTTCTATGTAACTCGGCCATTTTCCTCTTTTGTTTCATCTTTTGGTAATCTAAAATAATTAATATATTTTTAAATATTAAAATTATCGATATAAACCATATGTTAAAGTAACGACACTAGCCATGTAAACAATATTATTTACGGACCGAAATATTATAAAAATATAAACGAAAAGAGCAATATAGCATAAATAGAACACGCCAAAATACGATATGTATCGATTGATACACGCAATCATTTTCAGAATAACTTACTTACGTTTTAAATACTGTTATTCCAAGAAAGTGTTTAACTTACCGGTGAAACGTAATATTGCTCAGTTTGCGGGATATTGATGACGCACAACCAATTATACAGCACCTAGGCATTGTTTTGCATAAATAATTTACAATTTTCTGCCATGAAAGTTATATAAATTAAAGTTATAAATGAAAATAACCACAAAACTTATAACACTGACAGCTGAACTACTTCCGAGAATACGCAAAGCAAATTTGCAAATGACTGACAGGTGGTACGATAGCTATATCTCATGACGTCACGTAAAAAAATTTGAACTGTCACACTAGTGTTATCTTTGTTTACTAAAGAAACTTCTTATTAGTTAAAAAAAGACAACATGATGTTTTTGATGTCAACTTCAGATTGCATGATATTTATATAACCATAGAAAATATTTCCACTCTACCTTACTCTATGTGGTCAGCACAACGGTCAGTCAGTCAACTTTAGAGCTGTAGCATATAGTATGTTTTCGGTACTGTTACTCAGTACCGGGTACGCCATCTAGTACCGAGTAACGAAACGTTACTCACGAATGTATTTCATTACTAGTATTTTTTGTATCCCATCTACACACTGTTTCAGTTTTATGAACAAATATCGTTATTTCTACATTTTCTACAACTTACGCGTACCAATGATGTATAAAAAATAAAACATTATTGACGCATTACGATTCAAGTCGTTGCTCTAACATACCATATTATAAATATCATAAATAACGTAACGCTACGAAAATAACAAGTCATAATTGTTATAGTAAAGAATATATACGAGTATGCTATTATTTGTTCCTTTTTCATCTCTAGTCAACTCGAGTTATTAACTCGAGAAGACGAAGATCAAGCTCAAATTATAGCGATTTGAATTCTCCCTATCTGGAGATCAAATCCTCCATCCCTATAGTGCTTGATACTTTGCTCCATTTATTAAAACGAAACTTCCAAATCTAGTCCTCGTAGAAATGAATAGGGATAAAACGATACGAGTAAATACAAAGCACTTAGTACATACTTTTCTTTCGATATCAAGCACTTTTGGCATTTGTATTGGTACATGATCAGTTAGTAACTGAGTAGTGAGGAATGTCAAAAACTCGTGTGCATAAGACCACTCTGTGTTAAGGTGACTAAATTCTATCTTCTGTAAAAGTCCCACCTTATCTCTATAGTAGTGATGATGATGATGATGATAATGAAAGTGAACTTTAAAGAATGATTTCATCTAAATAAAAAAAAAGACACTGACTGGGGATAAGTATTTATTAAAAATGAGTTCCAGAAGACTAAAACCACGCGATGACTGTTTGCTTACAGAGTTCTGTGAGCAATTATTTATTTCGTTGTGGTCAGAATTTGCAGGAGTTACATAATAAATGGGCTGAAATGGTCTACTGGATTATCTTGGCTAATGGCCTAGTGTAAACGGACTATTAAATTATAATATCACGTATTATTTGGTGGTATAATATTTAAGTTTAGAGACAGATTAACACCATTATGCTGTCCCTTAGTCTTTGTCTCTCGTCTTCGTATTTGTCTTTGTTTCTCTATTTAGTATAACAGCATTAATAGCTCTTCTCTTTGACCTCCAAATACGACAGTAAAAAATATGTTCTCTGGCAATACTGGGCAATACTGTTTACATAATGGTAACACTAGTATTCTGTCAAATAACCGTTTGCTCTGTTGATGGGTGTCGAGTTTCTGTGAAAAATACAATTCGTTATTTGTTTGCGTCTCAGCATTAATTCCGTCGTTTGAAAATGGTTTTACATCAGTGTGTTTGTTGAGAATAAGTGCAGTGTAGCAAAGCAAATTTTCCTTTAAAATTTGTAAACAAATCCAAAATGTCCGTTCCCAGTACTGGCTTGAGCAAACTGAAGAAGAAACATATTCGTGTAAAACATCAAAAAGTGAAATTATTTCGAGCTAATGAACCGTTATTATCAGTTTTTATGTGGGGTGTCAATCACACGGTAAATGTACAAATAGTTTTATTAATTTCTTTACGTTAACATGTTGTTCGTATAATCTGATTTTATAGGCAATCACATTATGTCATTTCCTTCCTTACCGGATCATTGCTCAAGATGTTTATCTTTATAATAAACAGCTATTCCACTTCCCGTAATTGTTACCATTTTCGCATTTATCAATTCATAATTATTTAATAGCTCTGTAAGATACATATTGTAGTGTGTTTTTGAATAACAAATTCATAAAACAAATATTTCCCCGAAATTCGCACGTATGTTATAAAGGTTTCAGGAAGTTAAGACTTTCTTTACAATAAATAATGGTCTTTACAATAATGATAAAGGTTAATAAAAAAAAAAAAAAACTGAAACTTAATTTTGGACATATTTTGTAGTTATGGGTGTAAAAGTACATCTGTAAAATAGATAATATTTGCAATAAGACCGTTTAATCATAGAGGAGTCATGTTGGAAGAAATCAAAACTAATTTAAATATTTATTTCCATATACAGCTAACACAGTGTTAATTTTACAAAAATTATTCAATAATTAGAAAAATTGTCTGCTTAAACTTTGGTTCTAATTTGGCAGTTAAAGCAAGCAGTCAAAAGTTTAGTAAACTAGGTAGTGATCATAATATTTGCACAGTTTATGACTTCTAAAAAAAATAAATAATCAATAATTAAAATTAATTGTTTATCTTCTCTATGAATAAGATTGATAAATGTGGGTAGTCTGTTTATATTTTATTTTTATTTTGTATAAAGACAAAGACTCTGGTTTATCTAAAATCAGCTTTATTATTTCTGACTTTCATGGCTCACATTGGCGCTGACTGATTGCAAACCACCTGCAAGCTATACTTTTGACAATCTAGCTTTATCTTTTTCATATTTTATACTTTGCAAATGTATTTTGAAATATTCTTAATCACCAGAATTTTAAGTTCTAATTCCTTATTCAAATTCAGTCTTACAAATGCAATACTAAAAAACACAAGGGATAGCTTGTTCTATAAAAATCTTCTTATTACAGTAGAGTAAACAAGTTCAGCATCACAATACACTATGTAGTTTGTGTGAGGTTGTAAAAAAAGTTAATAAAATACTTTAATTGCTGATTCATTATGTTTTATGTATTGAATTTCACATATTTTGGACTATATTAAAACTCCTAATCATTGAAAGAACCTATTATATTTTAAACCATAAATTATGATAAATACTCATATGGGTCTAATTGAATGGAATTTTAAATAATGTTCTGAAAGGGCAATTATTGTTTATTTTGTTTAGAAGATATTAATGTTAATTCTTCTGTGCTAACATCTAACTAAAATATTTTTTTCTCATTTTAATTTGTCTTTGTTTTAATGTAATTCTATAGTCACATGTAATCTAAGAAAGTTTACTTCCCTAATCTTAGTTACTCACATAATTGAAAATGCAGTTTGACAGGTTTAAAATTTAAGTTGTAAAATTTAGTCTAATGTTTGCAATAGAATGGGATAAATAAGTCAAGCAATGGTTTACCTACCTACCCTTTCTACATTTGGTTTGAAGTTATATATCTGGAAGTTTTATCTACTGAGCCAAAAGAGATGTTAAAAACAAGAGTACAAGCACAAAATTTTAATGAATTATAAAATATGTATGCTAATATTAATAAACATAAAAAATATATTTTTTGAAATTTCAAAAAGACCCTGTTACATATTTTTTTTCAATACATTTTAAATTCTCTTTTATTAGTAAAATACAGTATATTAAATAAGTTCTAATAGTTTTCATGGTCTAATAGTTTGTCCTATGTATTTTTTGCAAAATTGTCTCATTTTTCAGATGTTTTGGATCTTTAACAGATTCTGTGTTCAATAGACTTGAGATGTTATTTGTCATATGATCATTAAATTATAACATGGAACAATACTTATTGGATACACTCATAACACAATTCAGTTCTCACTACTAGTCATGAGCTTTTTTGAGAACAGTTTATCACTCATGTAAAGCTAGCCCAAGCCAGTAGTTAATTAAAAATGAAATAAATTATAAAAGTTCTCTGATTCTCTGCACTTTTTCCATTGGAGGATAAAATTTTATTGAAAGAAATTGTTTTTGCATGTTTTATTCAACATTTTTTTTTATCTCACTTAAAACTTGAATGATAGGGCAGTATATTAAGGTATGTAATTACATAGAACAATATGTCTAGTGGATTTATTTATTAACAAATTAAATTGAGGCTAGGTGTAACGACAAAAGACTCCAGCTATATAGGCAATAATAATTATAATTCAGTACTTTGCAATTTGAAACGTTCTATATTTTCGAACATATGAATTGAACTGGTATTACACTTTTTCTTATTGTCAAATAAATTAATTTGATGCTCTTTTCATATTGATTTGCAATGGAAATGATAAATCGCCATTTAGTGGTATCTAAAGAATTGTGCAGCTGCTATATATCAAAAACAGGTTAAACAGACAGTCTGACTTACAAAATCATAGTTTATTATGCAACTTTAATTATTTAAACAATAAGAAGATTTACTGCTTTTTTGAAATTAAAAAAGATTTATGCTTCACAAAGTTTTCAGTTTTTGTCGTCATCCAAGTCAAAATTTATCATCATACATCTATCAAAACATATCTAATTAATGACTTAGTTATTGTTATACTAAAATTAATATAAATGACATTTTTCCTTTCAGATAAATGAGCTAAGTCATGTTACAATACCAGTCATGTTACTTCCCGACGATTTTAGAGCTTATTCAAAGCTCAAAGTTGATAATCACCTATTCAACAAGTAAGTTTCATAGTCACTTAAAATTAAATTAAAATATACTAAATTATCAGTATCAAATATTTGATGGTCATTATTGTAATATTGTTTCAGAGAGAATATGCCATCACATTTTAAGGTGAAGGAATATTGCCCTTTGGTGTTTAGGAACCTTCGGGAGAGGTTCGGAATTGATGACATCGACTACAAAGAGTCACTTACAAGGTATACAAATTAATTCGTCTACCATTAACCTATCAATTGATTATTTAACATCGGCACCGATAACGCTGAAGTATACGCGTGTTTTATATTTATGTATGCGATATTTATTTATATACTTTATTTTTAATACCCTCATAATTTTGGATTGGTATCCTCGATCCCACTTCCCATCCTGTGGTCCTTAGGTTTAGAAAGCCAGATAACTACCTATGCTCGAGGGGTCCGAAGAGGTTTTGCAGTAAGCTGCGGCGGTCCGCCACAGCGCCTACTGACGTTGGCAACATGAAAAGCGAGACCCACCAAGAGAGTATATTCCACGACGCTACCGAATTCATGAAACGCGGGCTGACGATAAAACGCCTGAGGTCAGCGAACCACGAAGCTGTACGATATTTTTTCTAAGTTTTTTTTTATTAACTGTATGTAGTGTGCCTTTCAACTGACACAGCGATCATTAGTTTATATCACTATATCACAGAAGTTCATGTCCTTTGTTAACAGCTTCATAAAATGATCAATTAATGACTACTGATAATGTATGACGTGTTTTTTCGCGTGAGGTGTGACACCTTCCTTTGTGTTATATATTTTGTATTGTTATTTGCCTATATCCAGATAGGAGTTTTATAGCGGAATGCTTATGTGATCAATGAGTCTTGAAGACTAAACCTGGTGATTGTGCTTCTCTCGATTTTATTTTTATAGGATGTTGATCGTGGTAGCAATTAGCAGTGCCACACTCCCAGTTCCCGAATATGTGTCCATGACCTGTATTCCTTAACCCCTGTTTGCGTTTGGTTCGTATTGTGTGCCTGACGTTCATATTTTTTTCTTCAATTACACGACGACTTACACGCGCGTAAAGTGTGCACCTTTATACGAATTTATTTATTACACTTAATACAATATTGTAGGTACCTAATATCACATATTTGTATTCTACAAACCAATTTTATTTTTTGGCAGTTTTACTCTATACACAGTTTTGTATATTTTAGCTTAATTTAGGATAAAAATAATACCCGAGTATGAAACTTTGAATTATGTTCCATTTATCTATTTAAAATAAAGATGTCTGCCTGTACAGCTACATCCCAAAGGCCGTCATGTTTTGCTGGTTACTAGCAGTTAAAATAGATGAAAAATGGTGAGATGAATACACGGCTGCAGGTCAGGTTACCACAATATGTAAAATTACTACAATTGATTATAAACTCTACCCACAATATATTAAGATTTAAATTCAAGTGGAGAAATTTGACAGAAATATATAACCTAAAGTGCTGTTGATAGTACATAAACTTCAAGTGAAGTGAAGTTAATCCTGTTTTTCTGAGATTAGTGTTATCGAATTGTATAGGTTATTTTGTTTTGCTTTTGAAATTTTATTGTTAAAAGTATTTTTTAAATTCACAATCTAGCTCAGCTTTTTATGTAGCAAAATGTTTTTTTTTGTTTACATTCATACTAATATACTCTGTTAATTTTCTTTTGTACTGTTATCAATAAATTCTGTAATTTTATTTTTATCGGTAAAAAAACAAATTTATAAACAATACAGATTTTTTTTGTTTATTTTAGTGGATGGGATTCGAATCCATTATTTTTAAGCGTTTTTCATGAAGATATTTTCCAGAATAACATTGTGAATACGAAATTGGCAAATATATTAATATGTATTATTTTTGGCTACTAAATAGAGATGATCTGATAAAACACTGCTTTATCTGTAATTAGGGCTATAAATTTATTGTCTCCTTATTTGTGATTTGTAGATTGTATTTGAAAACTACAGCACAAATATTTAATCGTGCCTCATCACTGGCACAGATATTTATATAAAAAGTATTATTGTAATATACACACAAATAAGAACGCAGTTTTTTAACATTTCAGCACATTTGGTTTAAAAAAAAAAGGTTAAATTACCACTGATTTTGAACCTTGAAATTATGGTTGTGAAATACAAATGCCGTTGCTAATAAGCAATTATAATCGTTGTTTAATTTACACATAGCTGTGTCATTCCTATGCGGTTGTCAGTTCGACGGTAAAGACGGTAGGGCGAGCGGGGTGTGGAGTGGGGGGGACGGTGCAGGGGGCGTAATTACTGGTAGATATGGTGGGGCGGTCGCCAAAGAGACCACTACACTCAATCGATACTATGTACTAAGTTTAGTATTTATGTTTGGCTCACTATCGCACTATTTTTATTGTTTCCACGACGCAAAACGAGATGATCGGTGCTGAACTCAGGGGAATATTTCTACTGTGGGTTTTGATGGCTTTACGGCTTCACGGTATAGTGAGGTCGGAATTGGAATGACAACGATGGATATGCTATTACAAGTACAGCAGTTCTGCAGCCGGGCCTGAGCGTGCTTAATAGAATGTTTACGATCGGCGAGGACCGGACACGGCTGGACAGACCACTTTGCTGCACTGTAGTATAGCTGTGCTGTAGAATAATTGGACGTCGCTTGCCTTTGGTATAGCGTGGACTAGACGTACGCGAAGTGTGATCAGCGAGGCTCTTTTTTTAATATTTGTTCCACATCTGACAAACAGATAAATCTGCCATGTTTTTCTGTATAAAAAATAAATCCATTCGTCGGCGTACGCATGAAAGTGCACCTAATATCAGTGTGCGGTAGGAAAATATATAAAAGTACATTTGAAAATCCTTTGCGGAAGGTCTCATCATGTGGTAAAAGCTATGGTAGTGTCCGCCGTTTGGACGTAGCCCACAAGATACACCGACGGAAGTGTACTTTCTTACACATGTATTTTTTAATTATTAAATATAATTTTGGTCGTCATGTTGATTTTGTATTATTTATTTCAGATCTCAACCGACTCCGGACGACTCGTCTGGCAAGTCTGGCGCGAAGTTCTATCAAAGCTATGACCGGCTTTTTATTTTGAAGACTCTAACTTCTGAAGAAGTTGAAAGGATGCACTCCTTCCTTAAACATTACCATCCCGTGAGTTTATTTATTTTGTTATCAAACAAAATCTACAGCTCTATGTTCCTTATATGTGTATAGATTTCTATAATTGTAATAATGACACTTGAATTTGTCTTTTCTAGCATTATAAAGAGGTAATAGCTCGTTTTTTTGGCATAGCTTACTACTGGAGCTGGAGCGATTTTAAAATTCTCACCTACGCGAAGCTACATCATACATGGGTGATATAGGTTATACAGTGGACCCCCGGTGATCCGCCAAACGTTTCGCAGGGCAGTGTCGGATTATCGAATTTGTCGGATTATAGAGTACTGTCTAAGACCTGCTATAGTTCGAATTTTTTTACTAAGGAGTATCTTGTAATTCAACAAATTACAGATCAGTGATAAGAATCTATATGTTATAAGTACTCTGAAGCACATCATACTTCATTAAGTATGTCGTATCTAGTAGGTAAATTAAACAACATAATATAGAGCTTACGTATTAATATAATCTAAAGGTGATGTCTTTAATGCTAGAATTGTGTACGAAAAAATGTGCTTAGGTAGGTACTAAATTAATTTGAAATTATGATAAAAATGGAATCAATCAATTTATGAAGCATGAAAATATTCATCATTTTTTTGTTAATATCATAAATTGTAGATTGGCCTACGCCGTATTCACTTGCCAAACTACTGAAAGATTCATTTCGATTTAAGCGATTACAGGGGGCGCCGGATTAGACAAGGGCCGGATTACTGGGGGTCCACTGTAATTTAAGCGAGCAAAAGTATTGGGAAAACGGCTAGTGTACTATAAAACCACATTTACAAAAAGAGTATTACGGATTCGATTTAAATCTAAAATCAAGATATAAGTTAATGTTTATTCCCACATATTCAGCTTGTGTCCTGTTTATTTAATTTATTAGGCTGATTAAAATTTCCTACAAGCCTATCAGACAGTAACTAGTGAGTGGTACACTGTTTTTTCTGTCTTATTAATTCCAATTTCGGTACTTTTATATTTAGCGATCCTATCATTAATTGTTATATATTTAATTAAATATATATCCGTTAATAGGTATTTGTAAAAAACCCCAGAGATATATCTTGTTGTAAAAACAATGATAAACTTGTTAGAATTCGCGGTATATTTGTGTTATCTAATCTTGTACTTTTGTGAAATTCACCTCTGATAGATAATAATTTACATGCACTTATCAAAAGACATAATATTTTTTTATTCATGATTTAATCAAGGACGCTAGTTCTGATATCATATTCCTTCCTAAATATGATATAAGGACTAGCGATTCACTGCGACTACAAGTTTTTTTAATATCTTAAAACACAATACAAAAACGTATTGGTTATTTATAAGAGATGTGCTGAATAGTGGTTTCACCGAATAACCGAATACTATTCGGTTTAAACTTTACCGAAACAGATATTCGGTCGAATTATTCGGATTGACATTTCATTGTTTTACCGCGTAATCAAGTTTAAAAACTAATTTTGATATAAGTCTAACAAGAAATGTGGATTTGATTGAGTTTAAAAATATCATTTTGTAGTTTAAAAACGAAAACCTATGTAGAAATGAAGTTTCTAAATAAATGTTTATTAGTATTATTCAACTCTATCTTCATAGGTTTTCTTTGACTTAAAATATAAGTGTCGTGTATTCAAGAAAAGATAAATATTTGAACCGATTATTTTCGGCACCAAAACGGAATACATAATTCGGCTGAATACAAATAGTGAATATGATGCCGAATATGCTGAATACCGACTACCAAATGAATATTCGGCGCATCTAGTTATTTGTAATTGGTTTTAAGTTGAGTGTTTGCGCCAACTTGGTCCGTATGTGTTTTAAATTTATAATTAGCCTATTATTGTAGTATTAATTTGGCACAGGCCTTTCTGTGGATGAATTTTAATGTGGAGGAAGGGCATAACCCACCATCTTAACGCTAGCATGAGGGGGGCCACGTCGCCCACTCCTAACAACACTATTGTGCCAATTCTATTTTTTTTACACCAACCGATCCATCTGTAAAAATAGTAGATGCTGATCTGTTAATATATAAAATTATACTTGTATTTGTTAGGCGAGTTGTGCTCACTTCGCCTAAATGTAAGTGCACTGAATGAATGTACATATGTCACGATTAGTAATATTTTTATGTTGTGGTGTGTGCAGTACATAGTTGAGAGGCACGGCAAAACGTTGCTGCCTCAGTACCTGGGCATGTACCGGCTCACTGTGGACGGCATAGAACACTACCTCGTAGCCACAAGAAACGTATTCTCCAACCACCTCAACATACACAAGTAAGATGAATCTGTGTTTCATTCAATATGTGTTTTGCATTTACATAATCGTATGTCTAACGTCGTCATTGTCTTAAAAAGGGAATCTAAGGGCCAAGACACATACCGTCGGGGATAGTGCAATACCGCGTAAATATTTCCAATAAAGAGCTGATTTTGAGTGCATTTAATACTATTTCACTTAAAATAATGTGTTAATTGTAAGTAACGCGGATTACATTGTCCGAGTAGAGTACTTTTCACAATCAAAGCTTGAATCAAAAAGTTGAAATCATAATAAACTCAAATTGAGTACATATCTTTGACAAATAAATGATGACTCATTTAAATTTAATACTAGAAATGTATTACTAATAAAACTTCACATAGTTATTATTTTCTCCAGGAAATACGACTTGAAGGGCTCGACAGTAGACCGTGAGGCGTCAGAGAAAGAACTGGAGAAGGAACTGCCGACCCTCAAGGACAATGACTTCATAAAACAGGGTGTTCGTATAGATATTGGTGATGCAGCAAAAGACAAACTCCTGGAAACTCTCACAGCTGACGTAGAGGTAAGGGAAAAAAGAGCTTATAGTAATACTCTCTAACGCAGATACTTTGTAAAACACTTTATCATCATCCAGATACCTTTATATAATTATCTGATTTAGTAAGTACTTCCTTCCTTCCTTTGCGATTAATAATAATCAATATGTAGGTGTTCTACTACATTTGAAGATTTCTCCATTTATTAGGGCACTAGGTGTACAAGTTAGGTGAATTAACATGACACATGACTAGAATGACGTTTGTGCAAAGTATAGCATGCAAAGTTGTCATTCGAACTTATTATATGTACTTATGTTAGAAATAAGTTAATATAATAAATGACATCTTAAGAAAATATCCACAGTTGGGTATTCTACTCAGTTTAAAATAATACTTGTTTTTTTTTAACAACTGTTTATTTTAATTAAAAAATATTTCGGAAAAAACGTGTTTACGTTTTCTTGCCTTAAAATTAAATACTGATTTAAACTTTTTTATACCCGCGAAAACAGATCTACAGAGTAGAAAATAAAAAAATGACAATAAAATAAGAGCAACGATCGATTACGAAATAAAAGGATATAAACAAACTAAGAACAGCGCCATCTAGGAATTAGATTTCTAATTAATAGGCATATATTTTTGACGTGGATACGTCTATGTTTTCGTTCTACAGGGGGGTCATTCTGGAGCAGGAGTATATGCACTAACGCCATCTATTAGCGTATAAGTGAACTATGCTTGCTCTGCAGGGGGAGGGGCATTCTGTCAGCAGGAGTATATGCACTAACGCCATCTGTTGGCGCTAGTGAATACTTTTTTCATTCAACAAATGAACGCAACGAATATTTATTTATTTAGTGTTTAGTGTCTTCAATTTGTTTATTTATTTTTTTATCAATTACTCATATATCCATTCATACATAGACGTATCCACGCATAAAATATGGCTGTATCAATGATACAGCCAACCAGGGTTTTTTTTATGACTTGATATTTGTCGCCACACTGACGTCGCACAATGGCGGGTCGTGTTTTTAAGTCACGTGAAACATACAAAATATTACGACTTAATTTTAGGATTATAAGATAATGGTGCGATTTTAAGACTCAAAATCAAAATCTCTATGGTTATAATGACGTAAATTTTAGTTTTTGAGCAATTTAATGAATTTAAGTTTAGTTTATTAAAATTTGACGTCACACGATGCTTCATGGCCGGCTGCGTTTCGGTTCTTGTGATCCACAAATTAATTTATTAAAATAAAAAAAAAACTACTACATAGTCATTGTTTACATATAAGATGTCATTTGCAGCATATATAATAATGAATTGTTATAACTGTCAAGTTGCCAATTAGGTCTATTCATCTTGTCAAAAAATATTTAAGATTGCCCTTAAATATTTTTTGAGGATTTTATATATAGGCCACGTTAACTATTTATCGTAGTTCCTCACCAAACTTCACTTGATGGACTACTCGCTTCTATTGGGCGTCCACGAGTGCGGGCGGGGGGAGGCGGAGGCGGAGGCGGCCAGACAACGAGAGGCGGAGAACGAGTCAGATAACGGCGATACGGATACCGATACTGATACCGACAATCGACACCACGGCGACAGGTACCGAACAGAGTATTTCAAGAAACACTCATCATAATCAGTCCTGGTTAAGAAGGATATGCCACGTAACACACTGGCCCAAAGCGGTTTGGAGGATATTAACTACTGCAAATGTAGACCAACTTAACATATCCTCCGAAACAAGAAGTTACTCAAGATAAATTTAGTTTTGATTACCCAACCCGTGACTGACCCTTGCGAGAGTTAATCCACGCGCGGCGCTTATCCACTACGCCATTGAGCTATTCATGAAATACTCAAGGCTTATTTATTAGCCTTATTTATTAAACTTATTTAAGGTTTATTAGCCATTCCGATTCAAAATCTCCGAAGGGACCTTATACCGGACGGCTAAAACCCGTTGTGGTTCTCATCATTCAGGTGAAATAGGATGGACAACGGACCTTCCCGGCTCGTGTGGACATCTGTCATAGTAAACCAAAGCAGGCGCTATTAAAAAACAAGGTTTAGCGTCAAATTTACGCTAAAATTGGAATTTTAGTATTAGTCTAAATTCATATTATACAGTGAATAAGTAAACCTTAACCTTCTAGGAAGGTTAACCTTTGCTAAGTCTGTTTAATAATATGAATTTCGACTAATATTAAATGCGGTCTCGCGTTAATTTACTCCAACGGTAAACCTTGTTTATTAATAATACTGAAAATGTTAACGATATTTTGTAATGTCGCGTCTTGTTGTTTTGGCAGATGTTCTATTTATCTGGTTGGTATTGTGAAATTATGTTGGCACTCTGGGAGTAACTAATAGTTATTTATAAAAGGCAATATAATTAGTTATAGTATAGAGCCTTGCGTCGACTAGGGTTGGTTAGCACACTATACTTCGCATAATTAAATTCCACAGTAAGACTAAGAATATTGCATTTCGTCTGGTTCGCCGTTCAATTTAGGTTGGCAGTGATAATTTTCGATTTAGTTTGCGTTTTGAAAAATGACGTTTGGTTGTTGCCTACAGTCAGATTGTCGGTCTGAAAGAAAGTGTCGATACTCTATAGCTCATTGGCTGTTACATTACTCTTTGGTAAGACATGGGACCGAGACCGTTTATCGTCTGTGGTCATGTCTAAAAGAAACTACAAATTCAGGGTATGTTCCGATATACACTGCGAGCACTGCGCAGTGGTCTTACTGCTGAAAAATCCGTTCCGTTATGGACTGCCAGTACACTGCTACAGTACCTAGGGAAATTTATGATGTCACTAATTGCCGCCATATTTGTACTGTGAGCACTGGAGATTTCGAGGTAAGGTGCTCGCAGTGCTTTTGATCACGTGATCAGTCGAAACAGAATCAGAAAATGATAAGTTTCTAAATAAACAAAAAAATATACTTACGTTTATTTATAAGATGGATTTAATTGATAAATATTTTTTTTTATACAATTTTCCAATTTTCTTTTGAAAAGAGGGAATCTTTATATTTATATTCACCTTGCATTAACAAATTTGAAAATGGCGCCAAAAAATAAGATTAACAGTATACTGGACTGCGTTCCGTTTTAAAAAGTCACCAGTATAACTAGCTATAAAGGAACGGGCTTCCAGTATACTAAATTGACGTCATACTGTTCAGTGGTCGCAGTGTATATCGGAACATACCCTCAAATTGTAGATCCCCAAAAAGGAATGTAAGAAATTAAAATAATTTAATTTTTAAATTTATAGTTTAATTTTTTTTTATTTATTTCCCTTCAAACAGGATATTCCCAGTAGAAAAATTTATATATTGTAGGTGAGTGTCCTGTTATCGCGTCACTTTTAGTTTTCATTAGTTTGTTTTTATAGCTTTTAATGCTAAGATTCTTTCTAGGGTTTTGGGTTCGAAGAGAAATGATTTCAGCAGGGTATAGTCTTATCGGGTTTGTCTCGATAAATTTGCGATGCTCGCAATCTTACCGAATTCGGATCCTAACTCGTAGCGATTGCATTTAAACGATTGTTGTATGTCTCTTCAATTAAGTATATCGTTACTGTGTGTAACATATTGTTTAGTTATTGATATTGTTTAGTTTCCTAGTGTCAATGAAGTCTGTGATGGCTACTTAACGATTGCTAATATGTCGAGACTGCAACTCGGACTACAATAACGTGACGGCAAAAATGGAATATGCGTCTGATTCAAAAGGGGTTAAATATATTTAATTACGATCTTTATTGCTTTAGAATAAAGTCTATGTAAATATTTTTCAAAATTAGTTTGTTTACGTTTCGAAAATAATTATTAAAATTTTCTAACGCCATGCTACTTGTCAGAGCGGATGTGACGAAAATGTACACGTATAGGGATATCGTTTTTACAAAAAGATAACGTCGATGCAATTACAAAAAAAAATAGTTGTTAATCGATTTGGGTAATTGAATAATAATCGATAACTCAAAATCTATACTGATTTAAAATGTCCATCACTAGTCGTGTACTTTGACGTCACAACAAGTGCGCTAAAAATTCCGGCGCTTAAACTGCTCGTAGTCGTTGCTTATTTTCATCAAATATTATTGTTAGTAAATTTTAGTTTTTCGGTGCCTGGTATTTTTTACAGTTATATAACAATGTAAATTCTTATATGAAAATATTTTCAAAAAATGTGCATATTCCCAATTGTGGCAGATTATTCGCTCTCCCTGTAAAAATAACAGATGTGTGATGTCAGATGGGGCTTCAACACTCCGCCGGACAGCCCGCGCGGGTTCGCGCGCCAGTCCTCGCTGCGGTACCAGGGGATCATACCCGAGCTGGACATATACGCGATACCGAGCCAGGAAGGTAAGTTTATGCTGAAGTCTTTTTCACATAGAATGGGTACGGTGGCGTTTGGGATTTGAAGTTGTTAGTGATGTGGTAATAGAAATATATACACAAAAAGTCGATATTATTGAGTTCATTTCTAATAAAGATAATCGATTTAAGAATAATATTTTTTTATCAACAAGATGAATTTACAATACAATTTTTTACTATAGTTAAGTTTAACTGATAATACAACAATTATAAAAAAGTTAAACGATAACAGAATGCATATTTCGATTAAAACGATTTTATTAATTCAATCCTTATTAAAAAATGTTCTAATTTTCGTTATAAGTAATAATGTTTTAAATGTTTAGATTTTAGTGTCTATTGCTATTAAACATTTATTTATGTTATAATCAGTGGTCGGCGTAGGTAGTGCTATTTCACGGGAATTGATGATGCTCGATTAACCTGGACACACCCTCGTATCTCTAAAGACTTGAGATTTTTAAAATCACTTTTAATCAAATATTGCATTATGTTTCATTTACAAATCCCAACACTAAAAATGTCGTCATTATTTTACCATAAATACTTACCTTGTAAGACAAAAGTTGTTTTATAAAAACGTTTAACCTTCTATAGGCTATACAACCTACTCGTGCCTTTACAATAGTAGTTTATGCAACTGTCATATATGAAGGGGTATTAAAACACGAGTCTGTTTATCTGCATGAGGCGAAGCCGAATGCGATAATAGGTTGACTCGAGTGTTTTAATACTTAACGTGTGCGATCATTCATCAAAAATGGCACTACCTACGCCGACCACTGGTTATAATATGCAAATTGAAATAAATATCTAATATACGTATGTTACGCTCCAATATCGAAATCGCTCATTGGGCGAAAATAGTTCACAACGCGTTGTGGCAATCGCAGAATAAGTAATTTTACAATAGCGATTCGTTTCTTTATTACAAAATATACTTATTTGTTTCAGGTTCACCAAAAAAAGAAATTTACTTCGTTGCTCTTATCGACGTTCTAACGCATTACGGCGTGAAGAAGCAGGTAAGCTTTTATGTATTTTATTGTAAAACTTAGCGCGTTTGATCTGCCATCTCGAAGTTAAGCAAGTTTCGCAACGTCCGATCATAGGATAGGTGACCAAAAATTAATAATCCGAAAACTCCTCCGTGCTTAGGAAGGCGCGTTAACCCGTTGGTCCTGGCTGTATCTGCAGTAGTTAACACTTACCAATCCTCAGTTATGGGGTATACACGGCATATTATGAAAAAAGAACTACCATAACATCTTTAGTCTTGTGAGGGTTTGCTACTTTCGCTAATTAAGATTTCCAATGTAGTAGGGTTAGTAATTGGAGTCTGAGCAGTTTGTGATGTTATTCAAAATTTGTCCGAATATGAACTCTAGATTCAACGTAATAAGGTTTAAAATCGAACTGGGATATTGAACAGCTTTGTGCTTAGTGCGCTTTATCTGCGATACCATTGTTCAGAAACTTTCGCAAAAATTAATTATCACGCCAAGCCTTTGGCCCCGGCTGCATCTTCAGTGGTCAACACCCACCCATCCGCACTGGACCAGCGTGGCGGGTCATGGCCCATTTTCCTTATTTGATTCTTTTGGTTCAATTGATCCAATGGGAAGCATCTGAGCACCAGCAGTGGGAAAATTAACAGGTGGTGATGATGAAAGTTTGCTTTTGAAATGATAGTCCTAAATTCCTTTTTTTACCTACCACTCATTCAGGACGTCTTTTGGTTGGTGAGTAGAATGAACGCTAGAGACTTATCTACTGTAGTGACGTCATTCACATAAACCATTCATTCCAACACGTCATTACCAAATCAATATCAATGCGGTAAAGTTATAATACCTCTTTATAAATATTTTTAATTATGTAACTTAAGTTCAATTTCGCATGGTATTAGTTTGTATTGTATTTCAAAAACTGAATAAAAACTTTGTAGTAATAGGTGATCTATCTACAAGGAAATATTTCTGTGCTAAGATAATAGTTTTGTATCATTGTTTCCTTTAAAAAACAGGAGGTATTGTTACTTCATCGGCGATATGTTATATGCACATGAATGGAATCGAAACTTATGGCTATAGATTTATAGTTCATTTTTGTTTCCGTCAGGCGGCGAAGGCGGCTAAAACTGTGAAGTACGGCAGTAATGTCGACGGCATATCCACTTGCGATCCAGAACAATACGGCAAGAGGTTTATAGAGTTCGTCGCTAAGGCTATCGAGGGTAACTAAGACGAAATATACATCAGGTGCTTCTATTAACGAGCGAGCATCTCTTTCTTTCATTACTCAGTGTAACAGTGAGATGACATCTTACTTTCAATTGATTATGTCCCCTACCAAATAAAAAGACACATTTCATTTTAAAAATAATAGCAATATTTATTAAGTGACTCTTCTTAAATCATTAATTTTATTTTGTGGTGTTTCTATATAATTCAGCGCATTGGTTTGCACGTATTTAGTGTATGCGTATAGATTTTCTTTTTCCCTTAGCTTGTGGCATAACTGCTTTTTAAATTTCATCAGTATGTTCTTGGGGTTAAATCAAATTGTCCAATATCAGTGTCATCATACTTAACTTCTGAAATAGAACGAGTGACTTTTTATAAGATAATATCTATGTTACGTCAAGTATATTGGAGTACACTAATATTTTAATGTAAACTACAATTGTATTCTATTTGTTACTAATACATGTAAAAACTAATTATAAAATGTCTTTTACGGGTAGAAATATTGTCAGAGTAATACCGTTCTTATATTTATTTTAAATATTTTCAGTTTTCGACTTAACAGTAAAGTTACGATCAGAATCTAAAATACAGCGTACCATTTGACGGTGTATTCTATCTCATTATATGTGAAGCAGTTATGCCAGCGGGGGATATATGAATGTGTTTTGATGTTTTCACATAAAGCTTATTTGTGCGATTGGTTATTTATATATTTAAACTGTTATATTATTATTTAATTATATAATCAACTCATTAAAACAGTATTTGCTTTAAACAAAATAAGAAACTTCAGAATTAGTGAAGTTGATTTTGTTGCTACCTATATTCGTTTTTAGTTTCCGCTAGTGCCGTAGATGTTAAAGTATATATTAAGTTTCCGGTATGATTCTTGGTTCATCAACGCATTTACGCTGTTTCTATAACGATTACATTATAATATAGGTACCGTACGAAATTAATATTATATTGTAAAAAATATTAATAATATTTAATCTTGTTACACAAAACTAAACTGTAATCGTTAGAAACGGTAGCGTTGATGATATTTGCAATCAAAACGGAATTTACAGGGTGTTGTAGTTGTTAAAAGGAATGGTAGGTTTCCATAGATCATTCACTCACTGATCGCTTGTTAGGGGAAGCACCGCGCGACAATATTAGTCTCGCAGGATAAGTCGATTTATAAATTTAAAAAAAAATTGTATCGTTATTTCGTAGCGTGAAGTTTTCTTGAAGTTTGATATGGAAATAATAAAAGAAAAGTTTGACACCATTTCTAATGGATAGCGGATGTTTGTAATCTTCGAATGTCTCTGTTTGTTCGCTTTGCGTGCGAATTTATAATACAATATCTATAATAATACACAGTGTATTTGTAACTGCCCAAAGAATATATCCATATATATTTTGTGCCTGCGTCTGTTCGAAGGAGTTGTACTAGATGTTACAGTCGGCTCTACACTCAGTGCCTATGTATAAGCTAGCAATAAATTTACCTCGAAACTTGGGCAGTTGCTAGTGCACTGTTCCCGCTAAACTCTTCGCACAGACGAAGCCCCGCAGTTGATTAATATATTACTTCTAAAATATTTTCCCTGGTAGCAATATATATCTTTGTAGTTCTACTATATTATCGAAACACCTTTAGTTGTTTTGAACAGTCACAGGGATGTTCTTAATACATCCTTCATGTACTTATTTCAAGTAGATGATTATTGTCCATTATAAATAGTAATTAATAATGTTGATTGCGACATCGTAAAAACAGTAATTTGTAAAATAAAATACATTTATTACAATACTTATGTCTAGGAACAACTAATATACTTCATCCAAGCATTATTTAATGCTGAGACACTGCGATGATGGGAAAGAAGAATGGTGAAAAAAAAGATTAGGCTGCCGCTTGTACTGATAATTAGAATTAACACACGTAAACTAAATTTTGACTGTATGGTGTATGAACAATAATGAATATTACATTCATTCATCCATTCATTCAATCAATGGTGTCAATGGTACGACACACCGTTACAAAGCTCATTTCTGATAACTCAGATCACCAATGACAAATATTGTCAACATAAAGTGTGGTTAATATGCCTACTTTGATGTCTACCAACCAACTAGGCACTAGCTAAATCATAGAACAATTTTAAGGTAAAATTTGTATTGAATTACACCAGTTTAGAAACAAAGAGAATTTAAACGTTACATTTTAAATACAATACGGACATCTGTGTACCGCACTGGGGAAATATTTCATGAGCAATATATGATCTAACTGTTCACATCGAACGCATCTCACATATTTTGAACTGATATTATAAAATCTTCGAGCACACTTTGCAATAATTTTCATGACTCGTTATTAGCTTTTTATATAATGTTCCGCTATCGCGTAGATTTATAGTATGAACAAATTAAAAATGTTGGATATCATTAAATTTAGGGCGTTCATGTGTTAAAAAAAATTTAAACATGTAATAATGTTATTCTTAAATAGTGACCAATGAATAGGTCCACGGCTGTTGTATACTATGATAAATAATTCAATTATGGCATGTCTCACGAGCAGTCGCTACTTACCGAGCATATGGAATGAGCTAATACAGATGTTATTGTAACTTTCTGTTTGGTACGGTCAGATGAAACGGAATAGTAGTCATTCTTATTACAATGAGTATAAGGTTGTAAATTCTTATATGTATTTGTTAAATGTGATTTGTACCACTTGTTTCTTTTAACGGGAAAGGAAAGACACCGGATAATTGATCACTTTGTACCCTTTGTCTTTATGAAAAATAAAGACGGCGGGTACAATAATTACTGGTTGTATTATTAAGGGTATGTTCCGATATACACTGCGAGCACTGCGCAGTGGTCTTACTGCTGAAAAATCCGTTCCGTTATGGACTGCCAGTACACTGCTACAGTACCCTAGGGAAATTTATGACGTCATAAATTGCAGATTTCGAGGTAAGGTGCTCGCAGTGCTTTTGATCACGTGATCAGTCCAAACAGAATCAGGAAATGAAAAGTTTCTAAATAAACAAAAAAAAAGTACTTACGTTTATTATAAGATGGATTTAATTGATAAATAATTTTTTTATACACAATTTTATAATATTTTCTTTTGAAAAGAGGGAATCTGTATTTATATTCACCTTGCATTAACAAATTTGAAAATGGCGCCAAAAAATAGGATTAACAGTATACTGGACTGCGTTCCGTTTTAAAAAGTCACCAGTATAACTAGCTATAAAGGAACGGGCTTCCAGTATACTAAATTGACGTCATACTGTTCAGTGGTCGCAGTGTATATCGGAACATACCCTAAATATCATTTTGTTTGAATAAAGTTCCACGTTGTCCATTCAGTAGCCATTTATATGTCGGTCGGTAACAGCTCTTGTTGAAAACGTGCGATTTTTATAACTTTATTATCGTCTTAATTGCCAATACACATATACCTAGATCGCTTAGTTTCTGTCTAGAGTAGATTATGTACTGTGTAAGATTTTGTTATTTATTATTCTATTTCGATTTAAGACTTGGATTGTTAATGGGAGTCTTTGTGATTTAATATACTACGGAAATTGATGTGGGCCACCCAAGGTTGGCCGGGTCAAGTGTTTTTATAATTTAGTCGTTGATATATATTTTTTTCTTGCGTAGTCTGGATATCCACTTGAGCGGTGTTAGTTATTCCTTCGAGATGAGTTTTGTTACTTTTCAGGATTTTCAATTAGTAGCATCATAAGGCTTTAACACTAACTAATGACAAAATATAATACCGAACAAAAAGTTTAAAAAATAATATTATTAATTTATTAATTATTTATATTGTTATTAAATTTTATATTCAATTCTAAATGCAAAACTAAGTAAATGTGTAAATTAACAGGGTCTACATTTTATTTATTTATGTCACATTAATCTAACGGCTGGGACAGACTACTTACAGAGTAGAAGTGACATATTTGCGCGTTATGTAAGAGAAAAATATTGGTTGGAGTAATTTGGAGAAATTCGTATCGAAAAGGCAACTACATCTGTTGACAGTGGATATCTAGCTATAAAGTGGTTTCGTATCGGTGGGCGTAAGAAATTAGTGCGATGTACCGAGAATTGGAATTTGTAAGGCGACATCAATACCCTCGCGAATCGTAAGAAGGTTTTTAGTATTTTGAACTCTATCGCAATCTAAGTAGAGTCTATACTGTGTTTTATACTACGAGACCACATCTAAAAGTGTGGAATAGATTTCAATTTTCAGTCATCGCACAGTCTCGCTTCGCCGACTAGAAATAATCGGAAGTTTTACGATTTTTTTCTTTATAAATTTTGTTTCTTGTGTAAATGTAGTTTTGTTATAAACGTTGAATGCAAATTCTAATCAAACAGTATTCGGGTTAAATTTAAATATTTGTACTTTACGAAAGCATAGATTTTTTGTGATAGATATTGTTTACTTTTAGATATTAAATTTTACTTTTAAGATTTTTATGAATTTGATCACTCTCGTGTATGTAATTATTATTATGACAATTGCCGTATTAGAATTGTGTCATAAATGCACATTGTAAGCAAATGTCTATATCGGGGAGTGATCGGTTTTGTCGCTCGTAGCTCACAGAGCTACGGTACCCTCACATCCATAGATTCCTGAACAATGTATTAAGTCATGGTAATGATTCAAATAATATGTCATATGTGTTGCCATTGTTTAGGTCGGTAATATTATTTTTATTTGTTACTATAGGTTTTATTTCCTTGTTATTATGGTGACGGTTGATGCCACGTGCGTCCACGTCGTTGTGAAGCGATATTAAGGCCACGTGCGCACTGGTGATTTTTTGTCCTCGTGATTCATTTTGTCACCGGGCATAGAATTAGTTTCGTGGTAAAAGTAAGTGAGTGAGGGAATCATCGCTATCTTTCATTCATTTCATTTTCATCTTACATGTAAAAATTAATTTATTTACTTGACATTGGCAGAATTGTCCGAAATGCGCAGATAAGCCATTAATAAGAAGAATTAATAAGAATAAAGAAGAAGTGAGTTTCAAAATGACATTTGAGACACTTATAATCAATTAGTTTTGTTTTGTATATTTATACAAAAAAATGGAATCAATAAAATTGCTACACTAAATGATGTTAATTCGGACACATGAGTGAATTCTAATTCGGGTTAGGATTTTTACGGAATCGCTCTGCTGCTTTTTTCATTTTCTTAGAAATCACCTTATTGCCACGTGTTCATGTGCGCCCGCCACCGTAAGGATTCTGAAGCACGGTGACATGAGACAGTCGCGGCAAGTAAGTCATCAGTGTGCGCGTAGCCTTATAAATACGAAAACTTCGCTGCGATAAGTGACGCGGCGGCATGTAAGCAACACGATTGAAATGTTAATTCTCTAGTCTCCTACTCTTGTAAAGACAAAAAAATGTGTATGAAAAATTTAAACTTAATTTTTTAAAATATTCGGTTTATAAAGTTCTGCAAAATAATTTCAATTGTTTTATTTCTTGTTGTGTTCCTTGATTATATTCTCGCTCATAGGCACCGACAGGATTATTTTCAGGTAGGGGATCTGCAAAGTATTTGCATAACCATACACTTAACCAATATAAAATTGCACTAACTAAACATGTATATTGTAGCATGTTGGTAACAGAGTTGCGAGTATTTAAATGGTTACTTTTTTAATACTGTATTACAAAAGCACAATGCCCTGTGTTCAGTGATCGTTAAAAACTGTCAAATGGTCGAAACTTAGAGAAGTATTCTAGAATAACGGATACCTAAAAATAAAATAAAAAAAACTCGAGTTTTAACGATCCCAAGACCAGGGGCTCTATTTTTGAATCATACGTCTCGCGTCGAGCGCTCGTTTTCTACTGATTTTCGTTCGACTTAACAAATTCGCCATTTCTAAATCGCTCGACTGCAACGAGTGGTATGAACCACTCGTCGCTTAGCGAACGTTGTATGCGAGTGATAGAAGAAAACGAGCGCTCGATGCGAGACGAATGATTCAAAAATAGAGCCCCTGTACACTTCAATTATACACGAAAAGCACCACTAACCTGCTGGGTCAGTGTGGTAAAAAAGGATGTATTTACTTTCTTATCAGACAAGGGCTGCTGCTACTCAATGGCAGCTAAGCCATTTGATAAAGAAAGATTTCTTTATGAAATAAAAGTCACAAAGTTGCTGTTTTCCTGCGACTTCGCACGCGTAAATTTTTAAATTATAATATAGATACAGATCAGTGCTCGTGTAGGCACCGAGCACAAGAATTTCAGACACTAACGTTGAAAGTACCTTATTTGTCTCATGCTTGTACCAGAATAAATAATTCATTCATTCATTTTATTATGAAAATCAGTACAGCGCCCTTAGAAGTAACCATCAAGACTCACTAATTTCCATAAAAAAAATCTACGCCTTCGATAGCGAAAATCAAGTCACGAAACACCAACCTAAGTGTTAATCATATTTAATGTTCTGGAAGTAATTACGGAAAATAAAACAAAACCAATGTTATTGATAGAGTTTATTATAAAAAAGTTCCATTAATACCACATACATATCCTAGTAAATTAATCCATTCTCGTCTTCACATGTTTCTCGGTTATTTTGTCTTTCTCTATGATATAGACGACGGCGCCCCAACCTGAGATGGCGTCACGATCCGCTGCATTCACCAGAGCCTGAAATCGCATGAAGTTCGTGTTTAGTTGTAGTAGTTAATGCATTTATACTCTCAATAACTCGGTGATTTAATTTCTACACCATTAATCAGACAACATATCTATTTTATTAAATACATATCCATATTCAATAGGATTGATCAATTATTTTTTTGAGAATGTTTGATTAGGATTGTAATATGAAATTACAAATGTTATTGATGTAAGTTTGTGTAACTAAAAACGATAAATCAATTTACTAAAAAATCTTAGCAAAATCAAAAGTTAAACAGTGTAGGGCTCTGTGCTGCAGTATTCTAACCATAGTTTCTACACATAAAAAAAGATAGAAAGTCTAATATTGTGCAATTTCCATCTAAAACAATGAAAGTCAGTTACCTGAGAAATTGTTTCAAAGAGTTCATCAGGCTTGAGGTTGGGTTCCCAGAGGGCTTCACACATACCATACAGTTGCTCTGAACATGTACCAGACACTACAAAGTCCTCAGGCTCATTTGGACATCCAATCTGAAGACGTTTATGATTTATTATTTATTGTATCTACAGTGTGGCAACATGGTAAGAAAAATACTATTCAAAGGGAATCAAACTTGACACATTAATGCATTCTGGGAATTTGCTTTGATCATAATATCAGTATATATTTTTTGCTGTTAGTTTTATGGAGCCTATCTTGTCGACCTCTCCTTTTAAAAATCTAAATGTCTAAATGTCACATTTTGACAGACATACTAAACTTCTAATAATGTAAATTTACTCCACATTGCCATTGATTATTACTTTTTAGATATACATCAGTTACCAAGAAAATTTAGATTACATATGTAATGCGAAAAATTTGGCAGGACTTCATTTATTAAGAAAGGCAAATTTATAACAAGTTTAAAATTAACTAGAGAAATTGATTCTTTTGTAATGAACTGATGTACTTTTTAGGTCATAAATTGTTGTTAAATAAATTCCCAAAAATGTATTAAATTTCTGAATATAAACTGACCAAATCCATATTGCAGACATATGGCTGGTTGTCATAGGGGTCTAATCCAGCAATCACAGGCTCGATGAAATAGGGTCCAAAACGCCTCTCATACAATAAGTTTGACAGCATCGCTGAGAATGTCTTCGGTCTCATAATTCTGTTCTCTTTTAACTCGTAAAGATTCATTCTGAAATGTGGTAATTTTATTTTTTAAGGCGAATGATGCAGGTCCACCTACCTTTTTAAGTTTATTGTATAGTGACAATTTTTTTGTGGTTTTCAAACATTCATAATTATATCAAAATACTAAAATCAATAAAAAAATCATGTACCTGAATTTCAATCTCTGGAATACAGTCTGTGTGTCAGTGGCAAGGCCAGGTAGTCCAACGAATAGTGAGGGACCCATTTGATAAACTTTTGGAAAGTTTGTGGACACAGTCTGTGCCTGTATGCCATATCTTTTATCTGTAGCAATTGCCACACAATCTTGCCCCTTCATGGCGACCACTGCGCCTCCGTTGTAAGCTAAGATAGACTGGAAATTGTTACAAAATATAAGGAATGTATTTTCCCAATTTATGATATATTTCTAATTAATACTGTATCCAAGTAATCAAACATTACAATTTTTTCAGAAACATTTATTTTCAGATTGGATACCAAAATGCAACTCAGGTTTATGGAGGTGGGAAGTCCTCATATTTTATGAGTAAACTAAAATGTGCAGTGTAATGTTCCAAGACGCCAACATAACCAAACAATGAAAATATTGTAGTAAATATTAATTAGTTTTATTGTTTTATATTAAAATTGAAGGAATTGTACTTACCATTTCAGTATTACTTTAATAAAAGTTCTCAAAATAATTCAATATATAATTACTTTGCGGAACACAAAAATGACATATCATTCGGCGACTTTTTTTAAAGCCACTGAGTACTTTACTCTTCGGCCACTGACATGACAGTAGGGATGTATGCATATATATCGGAACATTGATGTATATCGTTATATCGACTCACACGTAGTAGGAATAGGCTTTACGGAAGTAGGCTGTCTAAGTAGTTGTTGGTAAATTCTGAAGCTGCTATAGGTATAACAGAAATCAGAATTTGATGGCACCAAGGGTATAAGGGCCAAGGGGGGAGGGGGCAGGAGAAGCAGACGCCCCTCCCTGGGATTCTATAAAAATCTTGCTTAATCGATCATTCCCGTAGGTCAACATTTGAATAAATTTACCAATTCTATTCCTACACTCAACTACATGTAGCGAAATTTATGTACCTAGAAATTATTCTTTTTATTGTTTTCATATTGTTTACGTCACTGGTGGACAATGATTATGATATATTCTCAGAGAGTGAGTAACAAACAACGCAGGAAGAGAATTTTCCTTGGTCTTTTAATTATATAATTTGTTGAGTATTTAAGAAACGTTTAACTTTCTACATCCAAACCATCCAAGTTGAAGTTGATATTGAATATTCTGGTGAATTGAACGCAGTACGCAACCCCCAAATACACTTTGTTTTATGATATTGTTAAAGCGGCAGAAGGGGAGTGTACAGTGTTAACTGCACGTTAAAGACGGAGTTAAGAGAAATTATCATTGTTCGAAAGATATAAATATATACTGGTCAGTTTCAATATTCTAGGTTCGAGTTAACATGACACCTCACTCGGAACTTAATACCACCCTCGCTTTACCGCGCGACATCCAACATTCGCCTCTTAATAGCGACAGCATAACTGTTAACTATCCTATTAATATTATAAATGTGAAAGTTTCTTTGTTTGGATGTTTGTCCTTCAATCACGCTGAAACTACCGAACGGATTTTGATGAAATTTGGTATACAGATAGGATAATAAAGTCAGCTAATACTTTTATAATAGGATACTTTTTATCCCATTAAACTTTTTCATAGGGATCACGTGGGCGAAGCCGCTGGCGAAAGCTAGTAGAGGTCATAAACTAGACGCGAAAACAATAAAGAAACCAAAATCACCTAAGAAGAAACTCACTTTCAAAGTATTGGCCTTACTATTTTTTTGCTAATATGTGACGCTTGTGATGCTATCAGCTGCAATCCTCCGATTTATTACTTGGTTTTGGTTTAAAGCTTCATTAAATCGTATTAATGTGTGTATATCATCAGTGTATTCAGGTTGGCATGTGTTTTGAACACTTGAGTATACCAACATTACTGTTTTGACCTTTTTATAAAGGAGGTCTGTTAAATGGTCGAACATCGGAGGTGGACGGGAAACAGGGGCATCGACCCTATATTCATTACATTTTATAGAAATTTTCAAATGTCCTCAAAGCAAATGATTCTTGCCGATATAATCCGATTTGATTGTCCGTGTGTGTTATCCGAGGAAATTAAGTTACATTTTTCTTCTTCGTTTTATTATCAATGGCTTATATGCGCGTTTCCCACAATTCTGCCAATGTCAAGTAGTTAAATTAACTGAATTAGTAATATGACAACGAATTAATGAAATGATCTTTCATTAATTTCGTCAGCCTATGGCTAGAGCTCATATCTGTCAACGTCATATGTGAGTCTCTTTCCTGTGATGAGATGAGTCAACAAAAAAACTGTGCAGTTAAGAATGTCAAATGGCCACATTCTTAACTGCCCAGTTTTTTTGTTGACTTAAGAATGTCAAATGGCCACATTGTTAACTGCACAGTTTTTTTGTTGACTCATCTCATCACAGGAAAGAGACTCACATATGACGTTGACAGATATGAGCTCTAGCCATAGGCTGACGAAATTAATGAAAGATCATTTCATTAATTTCGTTGTCATATTACTAATTCAGTTAATTTAACTACATTTAAATATCCAAATTATTTTTACTTAGGTTATTCTCAATAATGAATTTGCCCCTCCTTCATGTGTTCATCGATTTTTGATCGATCCGCGCGAATCTTTGATCGGTTTTAAAAAAGCTCTTTCTTTTTTGTTTGAAATAACTGAAAGAGTTTTATCAAATACTCGAAAATTACTCATATGACATTTACAGTTATATCATCTTAGAAAACAAAAGAGTATCATCAGTACCTATTTTGTATGTATATTTTTATGGTACATTCACTGATTTTCAGTTTTGTAGCAAATCTATGCATATTGGTATAAGTATGTAGGATTATATCTTGCAAATTAACAAAATCACTGAAAATCATAATAAAATAATTAACTGGAGATTGTATTGTAAAAATATGATTTATTATTATTATATTTGACAATTTTGCACTCACATAGCTATAATGAAAAATGCTTAAAAAATCCACTTTGTCCTTGGCACTCTGAGACTCGATTCGAACCCATGAACATTCGCAATCCGGCGACTGCTCTAATAACTGAGCTACCCAGGACCTACAGGACTGATGAATTTTTCAAGCACTATATATTTTTCCGCTACTACAGAGCTACGTTTGGGTGGATGGCCTGAACATTGATGAAAATACGCTTTGTAGTAGCGAAAAAGTATAAAGTGCTGCAAGCTTCAAAAATTCTCAATACCTACGGATTAGTCTGTTAAGTTTCTTTTTTTTGCGATAGTTTTTCCGCGTACATATCCAATCGAGAAGTCATGTTGAATCCCCACTGATCTTTCATTTGCCGACATAGATTTAGGTCCAAAACTGATATTATTAAACCGTCCCTCACTCTCGATAAACTCGGGGTTCTATGTCCATTAGGTGCTGTTATATAGCTTGATCCATAATATGATCTTGTAATAAATTCTTTTCTTCCGTCTTTTATTACAGGAAACACTTCAGTGCCTACTCTGTTGATGCTACACGTGAAATATGAATTAGCGACAGCGGCGCATCTTGCTTCAATACCCCAGAAAGACTCTCCGAATTCCGAAATTGTTGCTGCAGGGTTGAATACAATTTCGGCACCGTTTAGTCCAAACATAAGCCAGTTTAACGCCTGATGTCTTCCGTAGCAAATGTTTATAGCAATCTTTGCATATTTAGTATTGAAAACTGTATGCCCTAAATTTCCAGGAGCGTAATAAGAGGTTTCACTAAAGCTACCAACACTAGGTATATGATTCTTTCTGTGCTTCCCCATATATTGTCCATTTTCATTTATAACTACTGCAGTATTCCACCATGTTCCATTGTCATTTTCCAGTATAGATGATATTAAAACCATTTGATATTTTTTTGCTATCGGAGAAAGGAAATTAAAGACAGGTCCTTCTGTAGCAGACTCCGCGAATTCCGCCCATTTATCTTTTTCTCTTGTACATAAGAAAAAGGGCATATACCACATTTCTTGTAAGCAGAGTATTTGCACACCCTCTGCAGCTGCAATGTCTATGACATTAGTGATTTTTTTTAAAATTGCTGCTCTCTGTTCACTAAGTGGCTTATCTGTAGGCTGTACAATGGAATGTTGAATAACTCCCACTTTCACATACCTTGGATCGCGAATTTGTTCTCTATTAGCCGTGAAGTAATAGCCAGCAACTTCTATGTTAGCTTCGTGGCATTTTTTTATCGTTGATTCTTTTAATTTCAATTCACAATGATCCTCTCTGCCATAGTGAATTCTGTTGAATTGCTTCAAATCTTCTGGTTTGAGGTTTTTCTTAACGATATTGTCTAAAGTTTGTTCCATTTGTGTAACCATTCAGATAGGTACCAATAAACTGGTTATTTATAAATATTTATTCGAGCCACTAAGAGAGTTGCGTAAGCTTGTTTGCGGTGTTATTAACTGAGACTAGTCACACATACGCATTTTAGTATTGAAATGAACTTGTTGCTGTGCTTACGATATCAATTGAACATTTAGGTACCTACATATTATCTTGTATTGGAGATTCAATAACACCTAACTTTCGTTGTAAGAGTACTCTAATATTGTATATAATCGATTTATCAAGCGATTATTTTAAATATCTCCTCTAATTGTCTACTCGATATTTTATTTACTGAAAAATGTCAATATCATCATCATAGTCCATCAATAAACTTTATTTGCTTTTCCAACAATACATTCTAATTTATAACTGTTTTTTAAGATTAAAATAAATAAAAAAAAACAAATAAATAAGAAAGCAACAGAAATAAAATGCAAAACAAGAAATATGTCGGGTTGTGTGCTGCAGCAATGCAAAAGGCTCAAGGCTCAGGATACGATTTGTCTACAAGGAGGCAAATCCCTGATATTCTGCCATAACCCTGAGGAGCATGAGACGCCAAAGCGCCGCATATTTAAAATAATTCGCATTAGAAAAAAAAATGAATTAAAAAGAATATATAAATATACAGTACCGTAATAACAAAAATGTGTATAAACATACACCTCTCTTATATTTTCTAACACGTAATAAACAAAAAGGCACGATATTTGAAAATGAAATGAATTTACATATATTAAAATAAATATATATATAACATAACATATATCCATAACCATAAGAGAAAATACGCATCACACCTTACAATCTAAATGGCAACATCCGTCACCGAGTACCTCCTAGGTATACCCACACCTTGCTTCTGTATAAGATATTCTTTGAAATATTTTTTTAGAGTCACTTTTGAAGTAGTTATACCCAGAGGAGGTGGTCAGTTGTTCCAGCATTTGGTTGCTAGGTAATGGAGACTACCAGTGAAAGCAACTGTCCTGTCACTGTTCCTGGCTCCATACTTGTTGGGACGACGAAATCGAAGTTCCGCAAAATGTACCATTTGTATAATATCACCGCTAAAGTTCCTTACCTTTCACATCACAGATTGAACACGTTAATCACTGCTCCATCGAGTTCTCAAAATTTTCAACCTTTTATATATTTCTATAGTCGTGTTGATAACATGACTATAAATGTATTAGTAGTTTGTTTAATGCTGATTTTAAAAAATTTGCACCTTTTTTAAGGTAAAAAAACCCTGTCCATATGGAGCGATCTTATTGTGAAATAGCACTCGGTGTCAAGTTGAATGCTGCCAACGTTTTATCTATTTATAATTCCAATTCTTATTAACGGTCAATGTATAACGAAACGAGCTTATTTGCGTTATATCGATTATGATGTTTACGTTTATCATTACACTAGTGGCCGCCAGCGACTTCGTCCGCGTTTTCCATTATTTCTTCGCTCCTAATAGTCGTAGCGTGATGTTATATAGCCTAAACCCTTCCTCGATAAATGGTCTATTCAACATAAAAAGATTTTTTCAATTCGAACCAGTAGTTCCTGAGATTAGCGCGTTCAAACAAACAAACAAACAAACTCTTCAGCTTTATAATATTACTATAGATATTACATAATCTGTGATTGTGAACCGACTTCAAAATAGTTTTATTCCTTAGAATTAGTGACTTTGCCCGCCTTTCGAAAAAAGAACAATCCAATCTATTCTCTAACATTCTAATAAAATGTTTTGTAGAAAACTAACTGAAATTTCACGGGAAAAGGGTCGGTCACGGCATGGGTGACCAAAAAATTATTATCTCGAGCTACTCCGTGCTTCGGAAGGCACGTTAAGCCGTTGGTTTCAATACCCTCCAAACCGCATTGGGCCAGCCAGCGTGGAGGGTCATGGCCCATCTTCCTTAATCATCCATATGGAAGGCCTGAGCCCTGCAGGGGCAGCGGGGACGCGAAAGGGCTGATGATCAATGAATTGAAATTTAGTGACTTTTGAATAAAGGTATTTCAAACATAACGTTAACTTAATAATTTGTTGTGACTTTTGTTATGCAATCTAAATATTATTAATACAATATAAATTGAGTCTGAATAATTGTATTGGGGGTTTCTTTTACAATGAAATGTTACAAATTAAGAAAAGTTTGTTTGTAAGAAATTTATTTTATTTAAAATTATACACTTAATCTCAAGTAAACTAAGGGCCTCCTAAAAAAATTCCATAGGCCCCGCTCTGGTTTAATCCGGCACTGCTAATGCCTTATAAATAAACTTGGAGAATGCAGATTGTCAAGTACGATAGCTTATGTAATCTAGATATAAGTATCTACTTATGTTGGAAACTAATCCATAAGTAACCCGATAATAAATAACAAGTTCTAATAGTTTCTGTTTATTGTTAAATAAAATGTTTTGAGGAGTGATTGTGATTTTGTTTACCTTTGATTTAAATAATATTAATCAAATATAACTGCGTATAGAAAGACTAACTCCGTGTTCGAGCGGGTCGCATGCCGGTTTCGATATGTCGTCATTTCTAAGGCGGGTTCGATTCCGGGTCGGATCTTCGTAGAAAATGAACTTTGTCTTGGTATGGGTGTTGTAATACTTGAACCTTTTTTCACTTAATTCAGGACTTGAGCTCTTATGTGATGTTGTCTAACATTTATATGATACAAAACTGGTATAAAAATAATAAGAGACTATTCATTGGATCATTAATGGAATTAATGGAAAAGAAGATTAGATTAAATAGAAATAAGTAAATATATGCTTAATCTTTTTTTAATTAATCTTTCGGATGTAATTGAATTTAAAGTGAGGACTAACGACGTTAATAGGCATAACCAGTTTTATTATTAAAAGTAATTAACACACAGTTATCGCATACACATTAGAAATTTATTATTAGAAAATTGTACCCCAGCTTCATTACTAGTCACGTAGACAGACTTGTTGTTGATAAGTCAAATATTTTTCACTTCGGATATTGTCTCAAACTTATCGCAGGTCGAAGGTCACCAGGATCGGACCACACAGAGAATAAGTAAACAAGCTGCACGTACTTGTGAATTACCATTAAATCACCTATTTAAGCAGGGTGATCAACGCGATAGGACAGTCGTCGACGGCAGTCCCTTACAGTAGCACGTCAATCATGGATAACGAAACACAGAGTCTCGAAGCGATTGTAAATAATAACCTCAGCGGTCGAGATCTCGATGAGTTCAATAGAATATATTACGGCAGGAAGAACCATAATGAAGTAAAAGTTAAAGAGTCATCCATTGCTGCTGCAAAGGAGGCTGATTTTGAAATAGCTGCTTACGCATTCCCAGCAAAAAAGGAGCAGACCAGGCCTCCGAGGATCGTCAAAGTTGGTGTCATCCAGCACTCCATTGCTATACCCACAGATCGTCCTGTTAACGAGCAGAAGAAAGCCATTTTTGATAAGGTAAAGAAGATCATCGATGTAGCAGGCCAAGAGGGCGTGAATATTATTTGCTTCCAAGAATTATGGAATATGCCTTTCGCTTTCTGCACACGCGAGAAACAGCCTTGGTGCGAATTCGCTGAATCTGCTGAAGATGGCCCCACAACCAGATTTCTGAGTGAGTTAGCAGTCAAATACGCTATGGTCATTGTATCCTCGATACTGGAGAGGGATGAAAATCATGCCGAAATTTTGTGGAACACAACTGTGGTCATTAGTGATAGTGGCAACGTAATTGGTAAACATCGCAAAAACCACATTCCAAGGGTTGGAGACTTCAACGAATCCAACTATTACATGGAAGGGAACACTGGCCATCCGGTGTTTGCAACCAGATACGGTAAAATCGCTGTGAATATCTGTTTCGGACGTCACCACGTGTTGAACTGGATGATGTTCGGGCAGAATGGAGCAGAAATTGTGTTTAATCCGTCGGCAACCATCGCTGCTGAAGCTGGCAGCGAGTACATGTGGAACGTCGAGGCTAGAAATGCTGCTATCACCAATTGTTACTTTACCGCTGCAATCAACAGGGTTGGTTACGAAGAGTTCCCAAACGAATTCACTTCTGCTGACGGCAAACCGGCTCACAAAGACCTTGGCCTCTTCTACGGCTCGAGTTACTTCACTGGCCCGGATGGCGTACGTTGCCCAGGTCTTTCTAGAACAAGGGACGGTCTCCTCATAGCGGTAATGGATTTGAATTTGAACCGCCAGATTAAAGATCGTCGCTGCTACTACATGACCCAGCGCCTCGACATGTACGTAGACAGCCTTCGTAAGGTTCTTGACTTGGACTTCAAGCCCCAAGTGGTCCATGAGAAGGACAAGAAAGAAAAATGAACTGCTATTAAGATTGTATTGATAGGCGACTGATTATCGTCGATTTGACAAATGTAAGATAAGCCTGACGAAATCTTGTTAATAATATCTGCCTATTTTCCAAATAGTATTAAGATATCTATCTATGACTGTTAAATATTTCAAAAGCACATTGATTATGTATCTATTAAAGCGAGTTAATATTTAGGTACAAGATGTTTATTAATTTCTTTAGGTACTTTAATTATAATGGAATTTAATTATATATTTTTCAAAAGAAAGAACATTTTAATTTCATATGCATATTCTACGGGAAGCAAAAGACGGTATGGTGGAAACTTAACCAAAAAGTAAGACGCCGACATTCAGCCATAAAGTTTTCACAGGGGTGAAATAGAGGTTGAAAATTTTGTAGAAAAGAAAATCATGTGACTCACGAGAGCGAAGCTGCGGAAAGCTATTGCAATGAATGTGTGAGGTCACGAAAAATTATTTTACATTAGTAATTAATTTTTGGTTCCTTTTCAGTGGAAAACTAACTAAAATGCTTTATTTAGACTATAAAACTAGAGTCAATTTGACAGATTATTCTGCTAACAAAACAGCCTCTACGTGGAACACAGCGCTGTTTGTCACTTAAAAATTAATACTTCAATGTTGTATTTCTTTGAGACTCATGCATTTCACCATTGACTAGGAATCACCTAACGAAATAAAGCAATGTCTAAAGTTATGATATTCGTTATGCGTCGCCTTACGCAAGGCATTTGCATATATTATTTGGAATGAAATTATTCTGCTTAGGTGATTCCTAATATTAAGCGTTTCCTAGTAAAGCTATGTCTTGTTCTAGGTTAGTGAAAATGGGTGTAAGTCACGCTGCGCTGAGCTAGACGACAAGTTCGAGACTGTTTTCTAAAAAAACATATATTTTTAATTTCAGATTGAAGGATTACAGTTTTGATTAAAAAAAGATCTTAGGTAATGTTATTTTATTGAATATTGCTCTTTCATTTGTATGACTTTTGGCAAAAAAGAACAAAAATCTATATTTGGTTTTTGAATTATAGTTTTGATCGTTTCTGAGATCTCTTTAGTGAAAAGTAGGTAGTGATTTTATAATTTACCCGATTATTATTACTAAAACTGATGAAGTTAATATAAATATGTATATTGCATCGATAATTTATTTATTGTGTAAATATAACCAATACTAATGAGTTCTATATAGATACTGACGAATTATTGATTATCTAGTACATTATCTTTTTACATTGGGGAAAAATTAACACCTAAGACACAGCGTATATATTATATGGCTCGTAATTTTGCTAAAGATAATGGTTTCAAGTATTGTTGGATAGCGAATGGAAAAGTATTTATGCGTGAAAACGATGGCAAACCGCATTTCCTGATCGGTTGTGAAGCGGATTTGAGCGCATTGAAAGTGAAAAAATGACTATCTTGGTTTTTGTCACTTTTAAATACTTTGTATAAATTTCAAATGTGTCCATCTAATTTTGTTTATGTGCTTTTCTTTTTATATAACAGAAAATTATCTTACTATGTCGTAAAACAACAACAATGTGTAACATATTATATATCAGAGCAATTTAATTTTGAAAAAAATATATTCATACATACATATACATACACACACACTCACCTACCGCAATATAAACTCATACATAAACATTTAATCACATTTTCCTATTTAATACAAACCAAAAAATATAGAATTACACCATTCATATTGCTTCTTTATTATAAAGCTGGTATATATTGTACTGAGTTCACATTGGTTATTATATATTATTTACTGTATCTTTTTATTTTAATTGAAAGTTCTCTTTATTCCTTAAGATTTCCACTAAGTGAATGTTATTGGGTAGTTTATCTGGTATGTGGTAATAACAATATATATAAATGGCTAACATAAATTTGGAATTAGACAATTTGTCTGTGGCTTCGGCCTATCAATGTGATACAGAAACATGTAACTCATTAGTAAACAATTCTAAAACGAGACTTAGGGTGGCTACCCAAAACATCCGCAGTATTTTTAAAAACTTTGATAGAGTTTGGCAAGCGAAACGTGACACCACCTATTTTTCCGTTTTCATATGGCAACAACATAGAACTGTCAGTTTGACACTACGTTAGACAATTCAAGAATATTGAATTTTGTTGTTTTTGCGAATTTGAACTTGTGTTTTTGGTTAAAAATTATGTCGAAGCCGATAAAAAGTTCATCGAGGAAACTTCTTTCCATCATGATTGACAAGTTTACTGAAGTGAAAACTGAATTAAATAAAAATTTCATGGAGAAATTACAACGATTAGATAAAGTTGTATCTTTTTTAGGTTAGTTTTGTATTATAATTTTGATACTTTCGTTTTAATTTTCTGTAATTAACTAAACAGATATTTTTTATAAAATATTGCTCTATTTCAGATAACTGTGATGGTGATATTCAACCAATAATGGAGGAGATAAATGCAATAAAAACTTTAGAAAAACAAGAAATGCTGAATTCGGAAACGCAGTACTTACAAAAAATTTCTTCAATGACAGGTCTCTTTTCTTGTTTTGATTTAAGATAGATTGATAGTATTCCTATAATATTTACATAGGTTTTTTATGATGTATTGGTTTTTATTGTTGACATCCAATGATGTCATAAGAATGTTTTGTTTAACAAGGAAATTCACAGAATTCATGAAACTAATCAAACCATGTAATTGTTATACATGCTAAATATGCACATAAACTTAACTAAATTAAACATAAATTGCATTCATAGTTGAATAGGTATTTAAATTATTTTGATGTATGTGTCTATCATTATTTGCTTTTAAATACATTTAACATATCTTTGTTTCAAAGTGTTTAATCTTTTATAGATGTAAGTATAAGGACACTAAGAAGGATAAAAAATGAAGCATTAATTAATAAAGGAAAATGGGACACTCCTGGGAAAAAACGACCTCATCAACCAACAGTGTCTGCTTTAGATAATTTTGATTTAAGTGCAATTCGGAATAAAGTAAATGAATTTTACTGTGTGAAAAAAATTGTTCCAACATTAAGAAGCCTTCACAATGAATTAAAAGATGCAATAGGATTCAGTGGTAGCCGTGAGACTTTACGAAAAATTATGCTTAAGAATGGATTTTCTTTTAAAAGCAATGAAAATGAACGTTCTATGCTTATAGAAAAATACCAGATTTCTGCATGGAGGCACAAGTATTTGAGAGAAATAAATATAAAACGAAACGAAGGAAAGCAAATTGTGTACCTTGATGAAACTTATGTACATCAGAATTATAAAGTTAAAAAGTCTTGGCAAGGACCTTCAACAACTGGTGTCACTACAAAGATATCCTCTGGAAAACGGCATATTGTTGTGCATGCTGGATCTGAGGAAGGTTTTGTGCCTGGTGCATTATTAGTGTTCAGTAGTAAATCCAAATCTGCTGATTATCATGATGATATGAACTCATCGAACTTTATGAAATGGGTCAGAGAAAAATTAATACCAAATTTAAGTAAGCCCAGTGTAATTGTTATGGATAATGCCAGCTACCATATAAAACAAATCAATAAACCGCCTATAATGTCTAATACCAAAGCAGATATCCGTAAATGGCTTGTAAATAATGGAATACATTTTGAGGAATATCAGACAAAGGCAGAGTTAATGTGTTTGGTTAATGATAAGAAAACATTGCCTGTATATGAAGCTGAAGAGATTTTAAAAGAACATAATCATGAACTTTTATTGCTGCCACCGTATCATTGTGACTTAAACCCAATAGAGATGGTTTGGAGTCAAGCAAAAAGAAAAATTGCAAGCAGAAACATTGGAATACCAGGAAAGGAAATGGAAAACTTAATAATAGAGTGTTTTAACTTAATTACCCCTAGTGACTGGAAGAAATACACTGATCATGTTTTAAATGTCGAAAATGATTACAAATTAAAAGATGGCATTGTTGAAAACGAACTTGAAAAATTTATTATATCTGTTGGTGCAGACAGTAGTGAAGAGAGTGACTCTGATGATTCCTTGTCATTGTTGTCAGGTGTAGAATATTTAGAAACAGATTTTGACTATGAATCAGACTAAAGTATTTTTAGTCTGATTCATAGTCAAAATCTTATCTTAAATTTTCTATTGTGATTAACATGATGATTTTGTGACACCTGTATTTTGTAATTTATCCATGGCACTTAATTGTAACAAAAATAAATGTTTTTTTTATTGTAATCTGGTGTTTATATTGACTAATTTAATTTGATAGATAGTGGTTCTGGATCAGAGCAAAAGGTTGTGATGAAAATCCCTTAGGAGACATGTATGTGTTATGAACACATTATAAATATAAGGGCCAGAAATCAAAATTGGCTAACATCACATTTATTAAAAAAATGTGGCCAGAGTCGCCCATATTCATTACAAAAAAACAAAGAAGTCGTTGCAAAAAACACCCTTTTAATTAATGACAAATATGAATTTTTAATATTATAAGTGCTGTTAGCCAATAGGTATAACGAATGGGTTAAAAAAAAGATTCGATTTAGTCCGTCAGTCAGATAATAGAAAAATATTGGATACGTATTTTTTTTCGCTTTAATTTAACAACAAATGGCTTAAGAGGTACTATGCGACGACTTCAAATATGCTTTGCAACAATGTTACTTTAATACAGTTTATCGATACGAAATCAAGTGTCAAAATGGAGTCCAGTGGAGAATGCCGATATTGACATTTCGAAATTGCTCATCATTGATAGAGAATACGAAATAGTGATTTTGACACAATCAAAGTGTCTATTTTTTACGGTGATGACGATTCTTGGTTGTCAGTTGAGTTAGTGAATAGGCCTACTGATATGCTGTTAACTGTACAATTAAGAACAGTCACGCTTTAGTCAAATGTTCCAAAACAAATAATTTTAATTGATATCTAAATGTTAAGATTAAATATAATTAATAAAAGTATCAAAATTATTTTGCAGTACTACATTCAGTGTTTACTGCTTAAGAATTTTTGAAATTGCCGCCCTTTTCTTGTGACACGTTTCGCTTGCCAGACTCTAGCTTAGTGGTCCAACTATCCGGATTTAATTTCGAAATTGATATATTGATTTTGACTGAGTGCTGGCTAGTTGACCACAAAACTATTCCGGATATATATGGGTATAATACCTATTTTTCTCGCAAATGTTACAACCAGAATGGAGGTATCGTAATTTACGTAAAGAAAAATTTGCTTTGTTCTATAGTTGAGCCAGAATTGGAAGGAGCAGACTTCTTACTTTTGAAGATAGAGCCTAACATGTTTATTT